ACAAGTTTGGCAAAATGACGCCCCTTTCCTCAAGTGATCTTGAGCTGAGGCACGGCAGTACTGGAGATGGAAAGAGGTCTCTGGAAGAACCCTGGTTTTTCTTTGGGAAGCGGAAGTGGACTCACTGGGGGGAGGAGCTGAGGAAATGGCAGGGAGCAGAAGGGAGTTGGGCTGCTTTTATTTTTGATAACAGAAACTAAGCATCGGAAATAAAAGAAAACACCAGAATGATGGGGTATTTGGCGGGAGAAAGACAGCAGACCGAGTCAGGCTTGCTCTTGTCCCTTGATACCCCAATGGATCCCTTTCCATTCCCAGCCAGAGATGCTCCAGCGGAGACAGGTGGAGAACGAAGCTTCTGCATGGCAGAGTCCACCAGCCGCTCCTGGCCATTTCCACTCCTGGCCAGGAAAATGGGCTGTTAGCTGCTCCCACCTAACAATGGGGTGTCCCACAGGTGCAGCATTAACCCTCTTGGCCAAAGTCTTCTGTGAACTTCTTCACCTTCAGGAGATCTTCCGCATTGACCGTGGGGCGGGTGGTGGCTAGCGAGCGCAACATATCTGACTGCAAAAAGAGAGAACGTTCAGAACCCCCAAGCGTCCAGCATCTCAGCAGTATTCCCCTCAACGTAAGGGGCGACTGGACTGATGCTTTATATCCTTGCTTAGTTTTGTGCTCAGTCCCATTTTGTGGACCCACATTCCACACAGAAGCCCTGGGTGTATTGTTGCAGAGTTTGGCCTAAGCCAGGAGGAGGGGAGGAAAGGGGTTTTGTCACAACCACTCACCATGCAGACCAACGGCTCCAGAAGTTTGTCCCCAGGCACCTCCATCCAGGTCATCTCAAGGGCCCCAGGATCCCCTGGTGAACAAGGAGTCAGCAGGTCATCTACCAGCACACCAGGATTGGCGCGAGAAGGTCCTTGAACCTGCAGTAAGGATACAAATAGTAGACGGATCAGGAGGGTTGTCTAACTCGGGTCTGGGAAGGGAGGCCCAGCAGCAACATAGGGGAGAAAGGAACAGTCCAGCAGACAAGCCACCCCTCAATCACCATCTGCTCTCCAGTAACAGCGGTCAAAGACTGCGAAAGGGAGCGAACCGGTCTTGGAAGTCTGCAAGATCACAAAGGCTTTCAACGCTCCGATCTCAAGAGTCCAATTGCTCCCATTGGATGACAGGAACAATGCCTGCCGTGTTCGGTAATCCTCCCCACAAAAAGAAATGGATGTTAAAAAAATCAGGTGTGGGTAGGCAAGCAATGGGTGAGGCACTGCATGAAAAAAGGTGGGCAGAGAGCTCGTCCCTTTCACAGCTAAAGCGCCCTGCTTTGTACCAGAAGCCATCAGGATATTGTAGTTACATACGCATGCACACATACGCTCTGCCAGTCTCACCTTTTTAAAGTGCGTGGCTGACTGCACTTTGCGGACGGGCTGCATCAAGGCATCCCGCACAATGATGCTGATGTCGGCCCCCGAGTAGCCATCGGTCTTTCGGGCCAGCTCGTGAATGTCAGCTTCGGTCAGGTTGTGGGGGGTGTTGCCTAGGTGTAGCTTAAACATCTGGGCACGAGCCAGCTCCTCTGGAAGTGGGATGTAAATGCGTTTCTCAAACCTATGTGCGAAGGAAGGAATGCAGGGGTCAATCTCCAAAGCTGGGTTGCGTAGCATGGGTGTGCCTCCATGCGCGTCTCTCTCTCACCGTCCTGCCCTTGAGGTGTGTGTTGACAGTAACCCCTCTCCTCTGGGACGGTTTCAGCTAACTGCATTTGGCCAAGAGGTTAGTGAAAAGGTTTGCCTTCAGTCCAATGTCTACACAGTTTAGTTTGTTCTTGTGCTTCTTTGTAGTAGTAAATAAAACACCTCCCTTCAGGACTCCGTGGATGATGCTTGTCTAGAAAGATATTTTTACAGGATGCTTGTTCTAGGCCCCAGCCTGGGGATTTCCTGCAGCCTTCCCACCCGAGTACTTTTCAAGCCAGCCAAAGCTTGGCTACGTGCAGCACCAGGTGCGGCACACACAACATGGCATTATAGTCAAAGGGCAGAAATCACACATTATCTAATGGTGACTTTAAAAGCCACGGAATATACCTGCAGCGTGAGGTTGAGGAACTGCCTTTTGAAGTAAGCAGGAAGACTTTTGTTTTTTATTCGGAGAACTACAATCTGTTGAACTTGAATTTCTAACCCTGTGAACCTGAATTTCGGCTATTTCTACTTACACAAAGTGTGATTAATTGGTTTCTGCCAGGCTAAACTCACCCATGCACGCACTGCTCTCACCCACCTTCTCCGAATGGCAGCATCCAGTACCCAGGGGATATTGGTAGCGCCCAAGACCAAAGTGCCATCATTATTATTCCCAACCCCTGAGAAAAAAGAGAAGTGCCCCGTGTCACCCTTTCTGGAGAGAGCTGGCCCCACGCTCCCAGATCTGACTGCTCAGCCCTGGCCATTGGCCTGAGAACAGCGGCTGCTCCGGACTCCTGCCCGGCGGCCAATCACTCACCCTGCATTTGCACCAGGAATTCTGTTTTGATCCTGCGAGCAGCTTCGCTCTCGTTCTCATTGCGGGAGCCACACAGAGAGTCCACCTCATCGATGAAAATGATGGACGGCTTGTGCTGCCTGGCCAACTCAAAGAGGTTCTTCACCAGCCTAAAGAGAAAGCCGGGCAGAGTGAGGAGAGGGCCAGGACAGCCCATATGCAGGCTGCCCAAACAGTGGAAGGAAACTCCCCATAGAGACCCACCATGCTGCCTCAATTCACCCCTGGCCCCACTTCTTCAACAGAGCAAGCTTTGCCCTCCCCACCTACTTTTCACTCTCCCCCAGCCACTTGGACATCAAATCTGAAGATGAGATGGAGAAGAAGGTGGAGTTGCTGGCCTCGGTGGCCACTGCTTTGGCCAGGAAGGACTTCCCAGTTCCCGGGGGGCCGAAGAGAAGGATCCCACGCCAGGGTGTGCGCTTGCCTGGCCAAGGAGAGGAGAGAAGAGGAGATGGCCTCATTCATCCCAAAACATCTCAGAGAACATTGAGAGGGACCCCGTGGTCTCACCTGTAAACAGGTGAGGGAATTTGATGGGCAGGATGACAGCTTCCTTCAGGGCCTCCTTGGCCCCCTCCAGGCCTGCTACGTCGCTCCATCGCACGTTGGGCTTCTCCATCACGATGGCACCTGCAGCCAAGGTAGTTTGCCCCAGAGACCTGAACTGAGTATTCACGCCCTCCCTCACCGGCGGAACAGAGCGGTCTCTGAGCCTCCGGGACCGTCCCCCGGCCTTCCGGCGTGAGTGGGACAGGCTTACCCATCAGCTGCTCTTGCAGCTTCTTCTTCTCCGGGTTCTCACCCTCGCTGTCGCTGTCGCTGCTGCAAAGGAAGACACCCCAAGGCCATGAGCAGAGCAAGGACTCCTCACAAGCTCCTCTTCAGTCGGTTTTGGCACAGGCAGTGCAGGGGCCCCACAACAGGAGCCCCCCAGCCTTCCTGGATGGATGCCCCCTCCGGCCCTTACCCCTTGCTGTCATTTTGGGCCTCTTTGACTGGCTTCTTGCTCTGCTTGCTCTTGTTCCGCAAATAGTCCTTCAGCTTCTCCGCCCGGTCCAGGTACTGGGCACACTTTGCCCGGATGCTCTCTTTGGCCTTGTCACTGTGCGCGTCATCTGTGGGGCAGACGGGACGGATGGGGCGCTAGAACCGGGGCTCCTTCCCTTCCCTGGGCCTTCTCCTCCCCCTCTTGGCCCCCAGGGTCAAAGCCGCTCTTGGACTCACACTTGATGGCGTGCAAGAAGTACTCCACGGCGTGCTGGTAGAGGCGCAGCGCTTCCTCATAGCTGCCCGCTTTGTCCTCCTCCGTGGCTTTGGTGACCAAATCAATGGCTTTCTGGAAAGACAAGCAGGCTCAGCCGGGGAGCCCCGGTGCTGCGAGGGGGGGCCAGGAGAGGAGCCGCCCAAGCGCCCCCCCTCCCTTCCTTCTCCGGCGGCGCCCCTCGGGCACCCAGGCCACCTTCGGGGCGCCGGGAGGCTCGGGATCGGGGCTTTTCCGCGGGGCCCCTTCCCGGCCCCTCCGCTCTGGCCCCGGAGGCCCCCAGAGCAGCCGCTTCGGGAGGGGCCCACAGGCCCCAAGCCTTGCACGGGCGGGGCTGCTGCGCGGGGGGGGGGCGCTCGGGCCCCGCGGCAGCCAAACCGCTTCCCTCGGGCCGGGCCGCCGCAATGGAGGAGGGAGACCGGCGGCGACCGCGCGGGGGGGGGGGGGGTGGGACGGGGGGCAGGCAGGCAGAGGCCGGGCGGGCCCGTGGCTGGGCGGCTCGGGAGGCCTGGAGCCGGGAGCGGCGCGCGTGGCCCGGGCGGCGGGGACGGAGGCACCTGCAGGGCGGACGTGGTCATCGCATCCCTGCCCGCGGCGGCGGCGGCGGACGGGTCGCGGGGGCTCCGGAGGGGCGGCGGTGGCGGCCTCGGTCCGCAGAGCCCCCCCTGCAGGCCGGCGCCGGAATAGCAACGCGCGGGGGCGGGGCGGCCTCTCCGCTGGCGCGCGGGCCGATGGGAGTGGTAGTTCGCCGCCCGAGCAATGCTGCTGTTGCTGCTCCGCCTGCCGCGTCCGGCCTTGGTGGCCTTCCAGCGGCACGCCAAGCGCGGAAAAAGCGGCGGGCCTTCTCCAGGAACGGCCCACCTCACGGGGTCGCCGCGCCCTCGACCCACCGAATGCAGACGGCCCGCCTCTGCAGCTCTTCCCGCTTCTTCGGGGAGAAGGACCCCCCCCCGCCCCGCCCGGCCTTCTTTCCTTCCTTCCATGGCCGGAGGGACCCGGGCTCCGTCCTACGCGGGGAGCAGGTTCCCCTGGGTCTGCGCCCCCAGTGCCCCATTGCATTGGGGGGGCATCTCCCCCCCCTTCCCCTTCCCCATTTTTCTCACCCGCTCCCAATTCATTGCTGGGAGTTAAACCTCTTTGCCCCCCCCGCCCCCCCAAGACACAAAACAGCAGTCGAGGCTAAAACTAATAATACTTTATTATACACTTTTGCCCTTCGTCACCTTTCATTGTAATGTACAATGCGATACAGTGGAGAGTAACTCGGGCCAGGAGCACCCAGGTTTTCTGCAGAGCCTGGTGAGAATTTCTCTGCTGGCGAAGATCAGACCTGGTCCAAATATCACCTCTTTTGAGAACCTGGAGACCCCCCCCCCGAATTGCATTTAAAATCATTGGAAAAGCAAGTCATTGTATAAATACCACGTATGAAGAATAAAAAAATAAAGCTGGTTGTACATTTAAGATTTGATTGTGACGGCATCTGTTGCGATACTCCACATGAGATTGTAACAATCAGGATAGCCACACAGCCATACAGCTTTGCACAGCATTAACATAGACGCTTACTTGTAGTGATTTCTGTGCAAAATTTCAAGACCTCTTTGGCACTTTGGGCCCATTAACGGTTGTTTGCCCTATCTGTAAACTCCCCTACATCTGACAGAAGGTGGGAAACTGCAGCCAATTGCTGTTGCGTCATGGAACAAAGGGATCCGCTTGGTGAGAGGCGCCATCCTGGTTCAGTAATTATTGAATTAAAGTGATTCCCTGGCCTAACAAACATTAGCAAGAAGCAAGCCCTGAAATCTGTTCTTGCCTCCCACCTCAAAATCTCCACCGATGGAGCTTTGTCCCCCACTCCAGCTTTATGCTCCACATCAATTCGGGGTCTAAACTCTCAGTGCAGCGGCCTCCTGTCTCATTAAAAGTGCTATGTAAAAAAGGGTGAGAACATGACAGTCAAGCTGCACTTCCTCACCTGTATTTTTAAAAGTTTGTCTCAATTTGGTAATAACAGTTCATCACTGTGATATAAAAGCACCATTTGAAAACCTAACGCCAGCCAGATTTTGTCTCTCAATGCCATACATTCATACCCACCCCTCCCAGGCAGGGGCCCTTTTCTGAAACATAAAAGAGGGTCCTTGGCAGCAACCCTGAATGGGAGCCTGGCCAGTGGACACGAGCAGGAAACAATCAGCTGCAACTCTTTCACCCACTCTGTCTCAGGACAGACGGAAAGAAGGGAAGCTGCTTACACCCAACTGAAGGTGACTGGAAAAAGGCATTCTCTTCAGAAAGTGACTCCAGCACCATTGAATATTGGCTTTTAATGCAGAGAAGGGCCAGGAACGATCCTTACTTGAGGTTTCTCCGAAGTCCAAATTCCAGCCCTAACAGAGCAGCCAGACATCCAGGGCAAGGGCCAGAGCGCCAGCCTTCCCCTTCTGCTTCAAGGGCCCAAATCCTTCACAGGAGGGGTCAGGAAGCCTTCTGCCTCCTCCACCTGGGCCAAGAGGGTCTCTGACCTACCCAGGGATCTAAAAGGATGGAGGCTCAAAGGTCAGAGGAGAGGGCTGTTCCCTTTCCAACTGATGCCCAAGACCCATTCCAGACTGCAGATACCAGGAGGAACGGAGGGCGCAACCTCTGGTGCTACTCCTGGGCCCCCATGGCAAGAGCTCTGCCTGGCCCTCCTTGCAAGTCCCAAGGAGGAGGCCTGACACCCCTCCTGCCCCGCCTTCCTTGAATGGTGCAGGTGGGCTCCTCTTTGGCAAGCAGCCCCTCCCTCCCTCCCATCCCCTCCACTGGAGCCAGAATTGGGGGCACCTCACGGACTACTCCCTCCTCTGGGCTCTCTGCTTCCCCGAGACAAGAACCAGGGCACCCCTCAAGGTTTCATTTCTTTCCTCAGGAAAGCAAGAAACACCGAGTGCCTCCATTGCCTTTCACTGGTGACGTTGGGGAGATTGCTCAACTGTTGTATCAAGAGACTACATCCTTTTGTTGCAGGAGGACAACAGGGTCCCTCTGGGTTGGAGGGGAAAGGAGGGTCTATTTTGTGGCTAGAGTGGCCTCCTTACTGACTCTGCATTAGCAGATGCTAAGTATTTTTGGAAGTGCCCCGTTAGGAATTGCGGATACATTCACTCAAGCTGGGGGAGGTTCTGCAGAGGAAGATAAAATAGTAAAAATTGTGATTCAGGCTTGGCTTCTCTACTGTAACGGTCAGTGCCAAAATGAAGAAGGGAGCCGGTCAAAGAGCATCTCCCTTTGTAGTAAGAGGGACGGGCTCTGCACAGCTAGGCGGAGAGGCTCAAAGAAAGCTCTCAATTTCCCTGCGCTGGTTTCTGAATCAGACTTTTTCTCATGCTGCAAAGAATCTCTTAATCCAAGGTGCTTCTTTTACTGGCTCTCGGACTAAAACTCGAATTGGAGGGGGGAAGAGAGCCTTCGGGGGCCCTTCTGATTTGGAACCTGGCAGCCAACTGAACAGTAGCCCCCAGCCTTGCCCAGACCCCCCTCCCGCAGCAGCAGCAGCAGCAGCAGCAGCAGCAGCAGCAGCAGCGCATGACTCGGGCATGTCAGCGGCAAACTGGGCACACAAGGCACCGCTTTGCTTGTTCTGGGAGGAAGCTTCCTTTCTCTTCCCGGTCGCCACTGAAAGGCACATCTGGTAAGCAGAACAGAACGATGGCTTCACACAATCCAACCAGAGAATTGCTCCTTCTACGGCTCTCGCCTGGCCTGCCCTGACCAGGCAAAGGGTTTAAGGCTGCAGCCTCCCCAGAGCCCTTCAGAAGGGGAGGGACGGGACCATTCCAAGTCCAGGCAAGGCACTGAGGCTGGCAGATGGCAGCTTCCCAAGGCCAGGAACCATGTGTGGCGGCTGCGGCTGCGGTGGCTGCGGCTAGGCCAGGAGGCCCAGGCGGGTCACTTTGGCCGATAGGAAGGTGTGCAGGACGAAGACCAGGGGTTTGGGGCAAGAGTGCAGCTCCAGGGCCTGTGGAGGAGAACACAGGAGGGAGAGAGGGTCACCCCCTGCCATTTCAAAGGCCAGCATCCACCCCTTTGTCCCACACAAAATTGAAGTTGCAGCCCAGGTGTAGCCAAAACTCTAAGCTCAGGTGGCTTTCTAGTTATGAGTGCAGCCATTTTCAATGCACCATTTCTGTGGCCGTTTCCTTCTCCCTCGGGTGTGAGAGCAAAAGGCCTTCCTCCTTTATTTTCCAGTGGAATTACAGGGACTTGCCTAAATCCACAGTCCCTCTTGAGGCAAACGTTGGCAGATGATGGCTCTCCCCCTACCACTCTCAACCAGCCACTCACCAGTTCCCCCTCCGGGCCGCCAAAGTCCAAGTACAGGTTTTGGACCCCATCGTCAGCAGACATCTTCAGCTTCTCAAAAGAGTATCGGAGGAGGATGCTGGTAGAACCGGCTCCCTCACTGGACACGGTGAAGCCGTTTTCATAGTGGATCGTGAGTCGAACATCCTGGCTGTTCCAGACGCAGCCTAGGCCGAAAGCAGAGCCTCCATGGTCAGGAGGAGACAAGGGGAGAGCCACAAGGGGAGGACCATGGGCCCAGGCTAGCTTTGCCCATCTCCAGCCTGCCTCTTCTTGTCCAGAGCTGGTCCCCACCTTTTGTCCTTTAAGTCCGGGGGGAGTGGGGGACAACGACTGGTTACTTCAACAGGCAATGCCTGGTCTGCCCGAGAGCCAGGCTGCTCAGCCTGGCTGACATGGCCACACGAAAGGAGCAGGTTTTGCTTCCGATGGCCGGGCCAAAGAGCCTTGGAGGCTGGGACTCGCTCACCTGCCTCAAGGCAGGGACTCCCACCCCACTGTCTGCTCCCATCATTCTTGCTGCCAAAGGCACCAACACTGTAGCTGGTGGGCATAATCTCTCCCTGACCACCTGGGCTTCCTCCAGGGGTTCAGGAGAGGAGGGGCCACAGTCCTTGGGCTGGGCAGCCAGGCATACCTACGGAGACCTCCTTGACGAGCTCTGCAGCGGCATGGCATCCTTGCACCAGGGTCCTGGTCCAGGTGGAGAGGTCACGGTGGGTCTCCACACGAAAAATGTGCATCTCGATGCCCTGGCGAGAGCCGGACCGCGTGGCAAAGCTGAGGTCTGATCCCAGGCACGGTGACCTGCAGCCTGAATGCACCAGCCTGAGTGGGGGGTAAAGGAGCAGCAGTTGCAAGCTGGGGATGACTTGCTCTGAAGAAATAAGCCCCCCAGCCCACCCCCGAGAGACTGCAGAAATGCTTCGGGGGGGAGACTCTCCCTCAAGCCCACCCCCACTGCACCCTGTTCTCCCCACCAAAGGTCAGGAAAAAACCCCATCTGGAGGAGTGGGCAGGCCACAGAGCAGCACCCCACGAGCAGGCTGATTCCTTTGGGGAGGACTTTGGGCACTGGGGAGGCAATCCGAGGGAGTCCCTGCCAGCCACCCCACCCCTCCCTTGGAGACCCCTGCTAATCCCATGCAGCAGAAGCCTGTGAGGGGAGGCCTGACAGCTCACCTCTCCGCCCCCTCCCCTGCACACAAGAACGTGCCAGTCTCCTCTTGCACAGGCCGAGTACAAAGGCTGAAGCCAAAGCAAAGGTAGGAGCAAGTACAGCCCTTTTCTCCTTGGCAGCTTTGAGGTGGGGGGGGGGGGGAGAGGAGAAGGCAGGCAAGGATGCCCAAGAAGACTTTTCTGCCAATTCCTGCCCCACCCCCACCCCCAGGCAGCTCCGGTTCACCTGAGCCACGGGCACAGAGGGAACAGTTGCCAGCGGCTTTTCTGGTTGCAGGAAACAACCTGGGACTTTCCTGCCTCCGGAACAAAACTTCCAAAATGAACGCAAGCAGCAACTTCCCAGAAGGCATTGCAGGAGGCGATAGCAGGGGCCTCCAGAAGGCAAGAGCACCCTGGGGCTTCATAAGAACTGAATGCCCTGCTGGATCCGGAAGCGGCTGCTCTCCCAGAGGCAGGCAGCCCCACTGCCCAGGAGGCAGCCGACCCCCAGCACTCGCAGGAGGGCCTCACTCCCTCTCCCCTTCCGGAAGGCCTTGTGCGTGGCCTGAGCCTGGAGAGACCCTCTTCTTCAGGTTTCCCCACCTGGTGGCCACCAGTGGGTAGCTGTGGCAGGGGGAGGCCCAGGCGTCCCTTGTCCAGGGCACGGAGTCAAAGAGCAGCAGGTCCTTCTCCGTCACGGCCAAAAGGACCGGCCGCCAATGCTGCCGCCCGCCATCGAGTCTGGCCTGCAGGAAGCCAAGAGAGACGAAAGGGAGGGCTGAAACGTTTACGGGGAAGCTGGGCCCCAGGGCTAGCGAGAGGCCACGTAGAGGGGCCCAGGGCAGGAGGACCACCCTTGTGGGAGACCTGCTTACAGACAAGGATCAGGAGCAAATTCAGAGAAGGGGAGCCCCCCCCCCACACACACATTCACCCCATCTTTGAGTTGCCAGGAGTCGGGGGAGGGGCTATGACTTTCTGGTCAAAGAAGGCTTCCGCGGCCTCCAGCCACATCACTTCCCTCCCCTCCCTCTGACTGCCAGTCAGAGAAAAGCTAGGCCTATCAAGGCACTGGGCGAGGGGCTCACCTGCTCGGCCAGCCAGGCGATCTGTTTGACCTCCCTGCTGCTGCCTGGCGCATGGCTGGCCCCCAGCATGGCATTGAGCTCGGCCAGGACCTGTGGGAGGAGGGCCATGATGTTGGTGTGGATTGCCATGAACCACGAATGCGCTGTGGCCGTGTCCTTGCAGCGAAGAATCAGGGTGTTGCGGCTGTCGGGCGAGTGTAGTTCAATCAGCCTGCAGAGAGAAGGCAGAGCTGCTGAGAGGAGGGAGGGGGCTCCACCTCTGATCTTCTGGGTCCCTTTTGGCCCCTCCAGCTCTTCTCAGGGGCCAAGTGTGGCACCCTCCCCCAGTGGCAGCAGGGCTACCTCTACAGGAGGACACACCACTCGCTCCCTGCCCTGGCTCCTTCAGGGCTGGCAGAAGGCGTCTTAGAAGTGCCGCTGGCCCAGCAGAGGGCTGGGCTGCTTTGGGGGTGGTCAGGTTTGCAAAAGCCATTTGGGTTTGGGGGCTGGCAGGGGGCTCCCCCGTCCCAATTCTGCCCCATCCCCAACCTCCCCTCCTGAGTTCTCAGGAGCGGCCATAGGGACTGAAGCACAACAGGGATGCCTGGCACTGCCTCCTCCCACCTGCCTGCCTGGCTGGGGCCAAAAGCTCCTCCCCACCCCCCTGGCGGGGATTTAAGGCTGCATCCTGTGGACACCCAAAGCAAACACTGCTCCACATCCAGTGGAGAAGGGTCAGGGCATCTTGCAGGGCAGATGAACACCCTGTGACACTCGCACTCGCTCCCTGCCCCTCACCCCAGGAAGCCTTTGGGCTGATGGCCAGGGAAAGAGGGGCCTCCTCCAGTGTTGGCACCTGAGCGGGCATCCATCACTCCTGCTCTCCGCCAGACTCTGCTGCCACCCCAGAACAGCCTTTGGTGCAACGGTTCCCCTCCCTGGTGCAATGTTACAGCTGCCAGGGCCACCCAGGGCCTTTCCGTGCAAGTGGCAGGCCTGGGTGCAGGTGGCACAACACGCCTGGGCCTCTGCCAGAGTGTGTGCTGCCTCTGCAAAACCAGACCCTCCGTTCCAGAACAGCAAGTTTTCTGGATGGGGGGGGAGGGGCGCAGAAAGGCATTGGATTTTGGTCCCACCACCCAGAGAGAAGCTGCAGAGCTGCAACCTTGAAAGGATCGGGGTGGGTGGGTGGGGTTGTTTCTAGCTGCACCCTGGAAGTCAGCACAGGCTGCTAGTCCTCATGTAAGGAGACAACTGCTGCCCTGTAACATCTCCTGCTTGCCCACCCCTCTGACCTGTTCTCCAGGTCCGGCATGCTCAGGTTCCTGGCAGCGTAGCACATCTTCAAGGGGATGACTTTGCGGTCCTGGGGGGGACTCTGGTGCTTTGGGGAGCCAGACTCTTCGCTGAGGCTGAGGCTGGGCGACTGCGGAAACGCCCCCTCCCACGGCAGGTCGGACACCAGCGACGGCTTCTTGATGTACGGAGTGGCCTCCCGCATGTACTTCACTAAGAGCAGGCCGAGAAGGGAGGGGCTGAGCGTTTCCCAGGAGTGGCCATCCTGATGTTCAAGGCCCCACAGAGTGACCTCCCCGGGGGCTCCCCTTGGTGGGCTGGACCCGGGAGGTCGGCTGGGCAGAGAGCAGCCCCATGGCACCCAGATCAAGGATCTCCCCGCTCTCTCCCCCTGGATGCGCCTTAAAGACCTCCACACACACACCCTGCCCCCCCCCCCCCCGGGAGCTGCCAGCCAAAGGAAGGGCAAGCGGTGACATCACGGAAGGCTCAGAGCGTTTTGTCAAGGCGGCCTCCGCTCGGCCTCCTGCCTTTCTCACTGCCTGCTTAATTCCTCTCCTTCCTCTTTGCTCTCTGCCTGCAGCCACTCCCAGGCCGAGGGGCCATTTCACCATCACAATCCCCTGATGGGGACCATGCTCAGCATAAAGGCAAGTGGGAGCGGACGAGACTTTCGGATGCCCCCCTGGAAAGCATGGCAGGCAAAGGCCTGGTGCTCTACTCCAGAGGAAGGGTCTCCCACAGCACCGCCCAACAGCCCAGCTCCCCATTTCTGAGCTGCTCAATGCTGCCCATCCTGCCAGGCAGCAGCGGCAGCAGCAAAGAGGTGTGGGGAGGCCAGCCGTTCTCATTCTGGGGCAGTCCCCTCCTTGCCTGGCAAGGAGAGCAGCCCCACTCAAGGTGCTGGTTCAGGGATCTGCTCTGGGCTCTGCTGCCCTCCAGAGAGGATTAGTGCAGCCAGGCTTCTAATCCCGCTCTGCAAGGACAGTTGGCACCCGGAGGACATCTTGGCTCCAGCAAGGAAACGTTGCAGGGAAGTTCTCCTTGCCCCCAGAGCGCAGAGGCAGCAGTGGGTGGTTTCTGGGGCAGTCACCCCCAGCAAAGATGCAGCTACTCGAGGAGGCCTTTGATCTGATTGCAAATGGCTCACAATCTGGGTTAGCCATTGTTCTGTCTGCTTGTTTGGCTAATTGAGCTCCTGGTCAGAAGCCATGCAAAGAGACGATGCCAAAAGCAGAGTGCAAATCTGGATCAATTATCTACCAACAGACACAGTGGACAAGCACCAGCCCCTGCTTGCGAAGGAGAAACGTGCCTGCCTGCCAGCCACAAAAACCTCCAGCAGGTGCTAAACAAAACCTTAAGAAAACCCGCAAAATCCCACTAACCCTCCAGCCTTTAGGAAGTTCAGCTGGTGGAACAGCAGTCCTAGAGTGGTGAAGGAGTCACTTCTAAATAAACAGGGACCATCTTCCCTTTTCAGCAGACAATAAAGTCATCATAACCTAAGCAAGTAGTTTTTCTGCTGGGCTGCTCTTCCCAGAAGGATCTCCCTGTCCCAGACGGTCCCTTGGGCCTCCTGATGAGGACCGAGCCAAGGGTATGTGCAGAGAGGAAGCAGCTGGCATGGGGGCACCAGGAAAGGGCATCAGCGCCAGCCGCTTGCTTTCTCATCCGCCTCCGGTTGAAGCAGGGCCAGGGGAAATGCCATCTCTGTTTCCCCATACAAATCCCGGGCTCCGCATTCCTGGGATCAACTTGCCATCGGGGCTGGCAGCTTATACCCAGACACATTGCAGCCCTAAAAGGCAGGGAGGCCAACCAAACCTTTCAAGCCCTTTGTTTAAACTTAACTCTCCTGAGCAGCCCTGCCAGGCGCAGGGCCCTCACCACCCCCAGGGAGGTCTGAAGCAACGGCAGCGTGAAAAGATAAGGAAACACATCAAAAACAAAGGAGCTTATTTCTGTCTGGAAGGACCAAAGGGTTTGCCCAACATGAAGACCATCCCCCAAGTCACCAATGAGGCAAGCGCAGGGCAGGTTTACACCCGTTTTCCAACCAGGGCAGCTGCAGAAGTGGCAGCAGGATGTAACTGTCTGAGCCAGGTCAGCAGGGCGCACCCTTGACAGGGGCTGGTGGCAGAGGGGGGGCCGCCTGCGCACCAATGCTGCCCTAGCGCCCAGCCTGTCCAGTGGGGCTCCAGGCTTGCGCCAAGGAGGGCGGGGGGAGGGTCAGAGCTCCACGTCCAGAGGGAGCCGTCAGCGGGGCACTTTGTGGGCTCAGACTCACACACACCACACACACCCCGCCTCTCTACAGAGCCAGGGGCTCCAAGAGGACCCGGTGGGAGGGGGAGGCGAACAGAGCAGCGTTCCTTCTGCACAGACCACAGAGTGGAAAAAGGCCCCTCCTAGGAGGCTGGCTTAGTAGAAGAGGAGCTCCACAGCTGGCTAGCAGATGTTCGCTCTCCAGTATCTCCATCCATAAAACTTCCCTACCCTCCTTTGCCCAGGAAGCCTTTGCTCCTCTCCAGCCGGCTCCAAGAACAGCAGCCGGCCGACGACTCAAGCGCTGGGAAGAACAAATCCGAGCCAGTCACCTTCTTTGCAAGAGCAAAAATGTTTTATTCATCCCCCTCCCCCCCAAAAAAAACCCTTGGAGTCCAAGGGGTTGGACTGAGAGGAGGGTCTTAAAGAATCCTGTGGAAGAGCAGAAACATTTCAGCCTCTGGAGAAACCTCTTGGGCCAGGATGGCTGCCCACGAGGAACCAAGGCAACCGACTCCAAAGGAAGGCTCAACCTGGACACAGCCCCAGTTGTGGCCCAGAGGATGGCTGGGTGGTCTCGGGCTGCCTTTGGCTTCCCTAACAGTGACCCTTTCAGCTGCAAAGCCCCCGAATGCCACCCAAATTCCTGGTCTCTTGAGGAATGTTCAAAGGACCTTCGCTTGCAACAACAGGCCAAGAGGCCGCTCCATCCGCTCCCAGGTGGCCTCAGCCCCCATTATTCTCCAGCGTGGCTGCAGCCGAGAAAGAGCCGCTGCTCAGAGAAAGGGAAGCTTTACGGAAGTTTTCACAACCTTTAGCATTCTGCATAGTGTGGGGGGGGGGGGGGAGAGAGGAAATGCACAGCCCAGCACATACACACACACACCCCAGTAGAAACACGCCCTGCTCTAAGTCTGCAGCTGCCCTCCCAGAGGGCAAAGCAGGGGAAGCCGGAGGGAGGGAGGGGCAGCTGCTGCTGGATGGGACCTTCCAGCTCCCCACAAGGCCCCCTCCCAACACTCTTCTCACCACCCTCCCTTAAGGGGGTGCCGCATTTACCCAGAGACATTTACCGTGCATAGGAAGTAGGAGAAAAAAGGTGTGAGCCAAACTGGCCCTGGAGAGATCCTGGGAAGATTGAGCCCAGTTGTAGGCAGTGCACGAAGTGGGGAGACTTAGGGAAAAGCCTGGTCAACTGAGGGGCCACTGTGCAGGCTTAGATCCCAAAGATCAGCAAGACTAAGCCCAGCCTTCTACCTCAGGGCAATGAAGGACAGTTCTCCTCAAGAGTTGGGGTGCCCTTTAAAGTCCCCGCTATTACAAGCACTTTTGCAGACTCCCCACAAAGGTGCGGTTGGCATCAGCCAACAACGAAGAGCCTCACTTTCCTTTCTGTTACTGGACTGATGGAGATTTGGGGTGGGGGGGGGATAGTTCTTATCCAAGAGGTGGAGAAAGGCAGGCTGTGTTCCAACAGGAGGAGCAGCACAGAGAAACGCTGCTTGGGTCACTTCCAAAATCCAGTCTCCAGGATTGCCATTCTTTGCTCCCACCCCAAGCGCCCAAGTTTGGCACTCAAACTTTGCTTCCTCTGCTCCTAGGCTGCGAGTTACAGCACCACTTACTGGTCCCACAAGAGAGAAACCTTGGCCAAGAAGACAGCAAAGCCCCAACCAAGCACTGCCTCCCCCCCCCCAGACCAAGGATGTACAAGAGCTGGAAAGCGACAGGTGTGCATGGCACCAGCCCCACCAACCCCTTGCGTGGCGGCACAGGCTTCACCCGGCATCCCCAGAGAATCCCATCCCAGATAAGGAGCCCCACTTCTTAATCGCTGAAGCTGAACCTGGATTAAGGGCAGGCCGAAGAGCAGGCCGGTGCTAAGGTGGCCCACCCGCCCCTCCCCTCCCGGGGCTTTGACAGGACGGAGCCCTTCCCGCCAGAAACAGCCTCCCGGCAGCCTGGAGTTTGAGGGGACGGGCCGCCTCCTGCCACGGCCTTCCTCAGGTCTCCGGCTCCGCGGCCTCTCCTCGACGGAAGGGCTGGCCTCAGACGCTCGGACCAAAGCCGGCCGCCTCTCCCGGGCAGCCCCCGGGCGCGGCGCTTACCTTCCAGCAGGACCTCCCGGCCGGCCCGCTTGAGCGCCTGCACGGCCTGGTCGTGGGTGGCGTCGCGGAGGTCCAGGCCGTTGACGGCCAGGATGGCGTCGCCCAGGTGCAGCGCCCCGCAGCGCTCGGCCGCCAGCCCCGGGAAGATGCGCGAGATGAGCACCGGCATGCGGTTCTCGCGCCCGCCCTTGATGCTGATGCCCAGCCCGCCCGCCTCCGCCTTCACCACCCGCACGCGCCGCAGCCCGGCCGGGGGGGAGCCCGGCGCCGAGCCCCGCGGCGGGGGCGGGGAGGGCGGCCAGGGGGCTCCGGCGCCCCGCTCGGGGGAGGCGGCGGGCGAGGCGGCGCCGTTGGGCAGCCCGTTGCGCGGCTCCGGCTCGGAGCTCAGCGCCAGCGCCTCCCCGCTCAGCTCGGCCAGCGCCCGCACCCAGCGCTCCCGCAGCAGCACCTCCACCAGCCCGGCCTTGCGGGCGCGCGTCCACACCGCCATGCCCGCCGAGACGCCGCCACTGGGGCCGGCGGGCGGAGGGGCGGGCGGGGCCTCTGGCGGGCGCGGGAGGGAGGGAGGGAGGCGGCGGCCCCGCCCGGCCGCAGGTTCGTGCCAAGGGCAGCGGGGCGCGGGGGGGGGGGGGGGGGGGCGGCCTGTGCCCGCAGCCTTTCGGCCAAAGGGAGGCCCGCGGGGTCCCCGGCCCTCCCGTGACCCGGCCCACTTCAGCTTTTTTGGGGGGTGGGGCTGGGGTCGGGAACGGCGCTCCCCGCCTGCACCGTTGCTCCGGCAACAGCTGCCCCCGAGTGGGCGTCGGCGTCCCAACTGGAAACTACCGGGACACCCCCACCCCCACCCCCACCCCCACGCAGGTGCAGCCCAACGGGTCAAGCGGGGGAAAGCGGCGGTGGTGACTCATCCTCCCGTTCGGATAGAGGCTTTTTCCATTTCCGAATCGGTTGGAAGACCCGCAACTTTGGAAACCTTTTGCAAATATACCAGGATCACAGGCGGTAGCCAAAAAAAAAAGCGCACCCCCCCCCCCCCCCCCCCCCCAATTAAGCCTGAAACGGAGCCTTGAGGTGCTGGAGGGATTTTTATTTAAGCAACTTGTGTTCCTGGTCATGAGGAGCAATCTGAACATTTGGTGCACCAGGAAGGGAGGTTTCCTTTTGCTGAATTGGCCACAGCAGTTTCCTAGCCCTGCATTGTCCGCCCAACATGGGCCTGTGGGAGTAGACTGGGAGGAGGAGGAGGAGGAGGGGCCGTCAACTGGCGAGCAGGCCAGGCGGGACAGGGATCTTCTCCTGGCCTGTCTCACAGGACACGCGACCTTCAGGCTCCACTGAACAGCAGCAAAAGGGCCGTTTCCCTCGCTCCCTCTGCAAATGCAGGGACACACACTCGCACGCACACCCACCCTTCCTGGAGAAACACAAAACAAAGCAAGGTCAAGGCAGCCTCCTCCCTCGCTGCTGACTTTGCTGTTCTGGTTTGATGGGGCGGAAATCAGGGTTCCTGGTCCGCAGAGGTGGAGTTGGAGTGCCTGGGCCTGGCGTCAGCAGAGCAAAGGGGTCCCAAGGCGGCCCTGAAGAGCCTGAGGCTATTTACCCAGCAGGAAGTCTGCTGACCCCCTTGGCTGCCGGCCACAGGCTTTGCCAGAGACGATGCGGCTGCTGGGTCAGCCCAGCCAGGTGGCACTTTTCTGGGAAGGATGTGCCGCGACACGCCGTGCATAAAATAGGGAGCCAGTCTTCTGGTGCCAGTCAGTGCTGGAACTCCCGAGTGAAGAGGCCCACAGCGGTCCTGGCTCCCAGACACAAGAAGTTAATTATTATGAGGGGTGCCCCTCTTTCCCAGCCAGATCACGGTGGAAAAACAGGCAAGGACACAGGATGGCAGTGGCACAGGTCCCCCTGAACAGCTGCTCCTCTGGCCATGCAGCCCCCTGCTCCTGAAGGGAGGGGCACCGGAAGCCCCTCAATGAAGCATGGCCTCTGCAAAGATCCTTTGAGGTCTCTGCAGGCCAGCACATTATGTCCCAAATTTCTTCTGATAGATGGGTGGTGGCAGCTGGGCTTTGATGTCCATCAGCGGCCGCTCCATCACCACCAAAGAATTGTCATCCAGGAAATCCACAAAGAGCAGAGGCTGCGGGGAGGGGGAGGGAGGGACAGGGAGAGAAGAGTAAAGTTAGAAGGGGCTTTGCTGGCTCAGCTGAAGGGTATCTAGCTTGGCCCTTTACCTCGCATGCCTGGTAAGGACAAGAATGCTACCGTGTTGTTGGCTGCCGCAAGAGTGCTTGCACCCATTTAGACTTTCAGAGCACCAGGCCATCTTGTGACCCGCACCCACACCAACACAGGAGCCAGCAGCGCTCTGCTTCCCATAGGAGCCAAGCAGAAGAGAATTTCATTGTCTTGTTCCTGCAGCTGCCCAAGAGCAGCGGCCCTTTGCTTCCACCTCTCATGCAAGGGCGGGAGAGGACTGGAATTATGCCCCCCCACCCGCCCCTCGGGCTACCAGAACACTGTCCCTGTCTTCTGGGGTGCACAGGCCCCATCCCTTGCAGACACCTGATGAAGGAAACTCTGCTGTATTCAAGCTTTTCCATGAGACCAGTGACTTCCTTGGCTCAGGCACAGGATGGCAACCTCCCTCCTGCTCTACTAATGGGCCAAGGGCTCCTCAGCTGGGGCTTCAGCAGCTGGCACAACGCCCTTTCGCCCAGACTGTCCAATATACTCCTAAATCATTGCTGGCACTGGCCATCCCAGTGTATCTTTGGCAAACTGATTTCTTGCAAACACTTACCGGACTCACTGATCCTGGTTAATCCAAGGGCCCAACTTCTTCCCTGGAACTACGAACTGGGCTTGCAGAACTGGGGGCCGGGGAGCGCTTCCTACTCAGCAGGTGCTGCTTGCCCAGCCCCACATAAAAGGCCTTCCCTCCCCTCCTGCCCTGAGAGAGCTCATTGCCCAAAGACCCACCTGGAACTTCTTGCAGATCTTGAAGGCGCGGCCCCGACCGCGTTGGATTGTTTTCACGTGTGGCTCCGGCTTCTTCGAGGCTGCAGAATCCTCGTGCAGTGGCTGGAGGAGCAAATTAAGCCATCAGGAGCGCAGTCACTGTCCGAGCTAAAGGCATGTTTTGCTGAATGGGTCCCAGTGGCCTAGTCCACCCTTTGTGCCGAGCCCTAACCAGACCAATAACATTCTGGCTGAATTACCAGGTGATGCTAAGCACCTCCCTGAACGCTGATCTGGACTCCAGAATTAGTCCCCCCACCCAGCTGGCCCGGATGTGGGACCAGCAGCCCAGGTCCCCACTTTGGGGAGGCAGGAGGCCTAAGCACAAATGTTTTCCCACCTGAGGGAGCTCCTCGCCTGACCCAGCCGGTGGGGAGGGCAAGTGGCATGGGTGACCTCGGCTCAGAGAAGGTGAGTCTGTCTTGCAGGTCAGAGTGTCACACTCAGACCCACCCACCATCCACTCACCAGTGACATGTCCAGGATGCAGAACATGTATGTGTCGTGCAGCAAGACATGCGAGGGGTGCCTGGGGCGGAAGGCAATGTGGGTGATGGGCGTGTCCCGTTCCAGCCAATCCTTGTGCAGGCCCAGCTGCTGCAGCTTCCGGCTCCAGGGTGTGTAGCTTCTCTCCTTGATGCTGAACTCAAACACCTGGAAGCAGGAAAGCCAGCAGGGAGGCATGACTCTCCCTCCCTCCCTCCCTGTTCTGAAGCCAGATCGATCCCATCCCAGCACAAAAACTGCACCTTCCCAGTGCTGCAATCAGAGCAAACTTTCCTCTGGCATAAGCAGCATCTTTGCAGGGCGTGTCTCTTAAGTGCAGCTAATTCCAGTGGAAACAACACATTCTGCTCTAACTAGGATCGATGATGGGTGACTGGGCTGCTGATCCCAGTGGACCCCCCCACTTTCCTGGCTCCAAGAGCAGCAGGTTACAGACGAAGTCTGCACGAAGGGCAGGTGTGGAAGGGCTGGGGCATTTCTCGGAGGCAGACCTTTGTGCGTGCCAACTCTGCTTTGCCAAGCTAGGGAAGAGCAGCCCCTACCTGCTGATCTGAATGTGCAATGATGAGGTTATTGGTCAGCGGATGGATTGCCATTGCAGTCACCGGGCACTCATAGGCTGGTACAGTGCAGTGAAGCTGGGGAAGGAAGGCGCAGCGGAATAAGAGAGAGCACCTGCCTCGGCCTTCCCCACTTACAGAACTGGTTTCTCCATCAGAGGCTCCTGGACTCATCGGTGGCTGAGCCAACTCTCTGCTCCCACAAAGCCAACCCAAGGACTTTGCCAGAGCAAACGAGGTGCCCGAAGATGCCTGCTGCCAACCCAGACCCAGACCCAGACCAGAAAAGAAATGGAGGAAGCAGCAGATCTGGTCTCTGGCTGCCACGTTTGCAGCTGGGCTCACCTTAGTATTTTCCAAGTTGTAGATGCAGATTTCCCGGTCTCCACCTGCTGCACACAACCACCTGCCATCCACACTCACTGCCAGCTGGTGCACTGCTTCCAACATCTCTGCGGGAAGGCACAGATCAGGAGCAGTTTTTCAGATTTCCTCCAGCAGCTCTCTGCTGCAGAGGCTAGCTAACCGCTGCCTGTCTTTCTTATCTGGGAGCATTTGCAGAAAACATTTGGCTATTCCTGCAAGGACTTTCAATATGCCTTAATCTAAAAAAAATTGTTGTTACCTGAATTGGGACGAAGCGTGTAGAGATGCCTGCAGATCCCTGACTGCAAGAGTGAAAGCACATGCACGCAGCCCCGATCCGATGCCAGAAAAAGCCTGGTGGAGTCGCAAGAAAAAAGGAGGTGGTGGGCCGAGCCGTTCAGCCTGGGGGTCTTGCGAACCTTGGAGAAAGCAAACCAGGATTGATGCAACCGGCTGGGCCCTCCAGAGCGAGCCAGGAAGGTTTCCAACTGACTGAGCACCCACGGCTCCCCCCATGCCATGGAGATCGCACTCACTCTGTTGATGGAAATGTGGTCACTGAAGAGCTGAACCCGATGCAGGCAGAACCTGCTAGCTGTGGAGTAGGCAATCCAGACGCCACACGGAGAGAGGCAGCTGCTGCGGATGTGCTCCGGGCCCTTCGATGAAATAAGAGAACCAATCAAAGGAAGGAAGGAGGGAGGGTCTGTGCAACTGATTTGAGCAATGGATGGGATTCTCCAGACCCAGCAAAGTCAAGGTGCTACACAGCTCTCTCAAGGGGCATTTCTAAGACACCCGTTTCCCTTCTTTCTCAGAGCGGAGAAGGAAGCGAAGGATGGAAATGCCAGACCAGGGTTGGACAGATTTGCCCCGGTCACAGTGTTAAGTGTCTGGTGGCTCAGCAGACTGATAGCATTGTGATTAACACCAGCTGTCTGCAATTACTGTAAGTTCGAATCTCACCAGGCTCAAGGTTGACTCAGCCTTCCATCCTTTCTAAGGTAGGTAAATTGAGGACCCAGTTTGTGGGGGCAATAAGCTGACTTTGTATAAATATACAAAAGTATGAAGGCTATTGCTTAACGCATTGTAAGATGCCCTGAATCTCCGGAGAAGGGCGGCATATAAATCAATTTAAATAAAAAAAAAAGTGTCAGGGTTAGGAAATCATGGCTTCTCACCTTGGCCTTCAGTTGGAGCAGGTTCTGGGGGGGACAGGACACCGGCAGGACCTCACCAGGCCTTCCTGCAACGAGAAACAAGGTGACTTGCAGAAAGCCGGGTGCCACAGGACAGGGCAAGACAGTCCTGCTGTGATTGCCAAAGAGGGTGGCAGGGAAGGCAAGCTGCGCTCTTTGCTGTGCCCATCCTCTGCACACTGAAGTCGTGTGCATCCTCACCAGAGAAGTTTGTGGTGCCAAGCTGCCAGAGCTCCAGGTGCTGGGGGTACTGGAAGAGGAGGAGCCGGGCTGTCCTGGCACAGGAGACGAGGCACCTCTGTGAGAAGAGAAAAGCCACCTGAAGCACCAGCAAGAGAGACAGCTGGCCTCAACGCTGCAGGATCCTCCTCTTCAGGAGCAGCCCCCTCCCAGCCCAGGAGGAGAGAGCAGTCCCGATACTCACGTGGGGGAAGCTGATCGTGCGGAGGGCAGCATCATAGGTCTTGGAGTCCACCTTCTCCATCAGGGGTCGGATCACAAGTTGCCCATCCAGCCCTGCCAGAGGAGGATGGCACCTGGCTCATGCAACCTGCCTAGTGTGGGCTGGCTCTGGGCAACTCCCCAAAGACTTTCTGGCCTCTGGCTTACCATTATTTCAGCCAAAATGCGCAGGCTTCTTGAACAAGCCAGGGCTTAGTGCAATGAGCAAAGTCATCCCAGCCGCCCAAATGCTACCGGACAACGGGAGAGTGCCAGGAACACAACGGGCCTCATCTACCTGACTGTGTCCCTTGGGATACCCTTGCCCATCTTCTGCTGATGAGTTAGACTAGAAGTTGGGCGCCCTACTGTACCTCCAGAGATGAAGGCTGTGGCAGTATGTGCCACCGTCCGCACATCGTGAGTGTGATGCCGAAAGGGTCTGGTCCGCACCCACTGGTGCTCAGAGCTGCCCAGCCTCACCGGTAGCAGCTGGAACTGATATACTGTCCCCTCCGATGTGCCAACAACCATGCTATCTTCTGCCTGAAGAAAACCAGTCGATACCAGTGGGTGAGAACATGATGCCATGAACCTCCCAGGCCACAAAAGATTCTGTTCCCTCTTATACCCCCAGCTAGATGCCCTGCTGAAAAAGAAGGTGCTAGCCCTTGGCTTCCTCCTGCTCAATGGTGAGCAACTTCATCATTTCGAACTGGACTTGTAGCACGAAATGCCCATGAATTTCTTCTTAAAAAAAAGCAACCTATGGGAAGTGGTACTCATGCTACTTTGGGTGGGTGGGAAGCTGACCCCCCAGCTCCACAAAATGAGGCCTGAGGTAGAATCTGGGTTTTGGCAGCTGGCCTGGCTCAACTGCATCAGGGCAGAACATGGATAAATATTCAATTCTCTGATGACACATAAAAATGCTTCTTTAGTCCTTTTTATCAGGACTTGCAAATCTGCCCACATTTTGCAACTCTCACCCACCTCAGCCACGGCCACGGAAAGCACTGCAGCTTTGCTGATGGGATGCTTAGAGAGCAGAGTGCCAGTCGCCGAATCCCAGAACTGCACTTTTCCAGCAGAATCCACGCTGACCACCGTGCCATCTGAAAGGAAGGCCAGGCCCCACACCAGGCATTTCTGGCTGGAGGGGCCTTGCAAACGTCCTTCTACCAGTATCCGCTGACTGGTGTGCCCTAAGAAAGACGCACGTGGGATCGGAAGAAACAGTTGCTCAAACAAACCCACAGAAAACTTTTTTCTCTCACACCAGCTTCTTTGCTTCCAGGGGGTCCCTGATAGTCTCCACCATCTTCTTTTAGAACACCTACAGAAATTGAGCCCAGGGCCTTTTGCACACTGAGACCAGAACAGGCTCCAAGGACTAAGGGTACTGCCACTGTCTCTGTCAGGCGCAGCTGAAGCAATCAAGAGAGCACCAGCCCTCAGTGCCAGAGTGGCTCAAAGACTCCCTTGGCAGCCCAGGCAGGTCCCTCTCAGATGCTCCTGCTTCTCTTGCTCCAAACTAGGTGAAGAACTTACCAGATACGATGTCAAAGATATAAAAGCAGTCGATGGAGCCAGCTGCGATCTTGGTCCCAGAGGGATGCCAGGACAGAGAGAGGATGCGTTCTGTGAGAGAAAAGGGGGGAGGACCTGAGCCCCAGAGGCTGGAACTGTCCAGGTAATGCTGCTCCCCCAGCCCCAAGTGGAATCCAGCTGCCCAGGACCGGATGGCCTCTGGCAGACACTGGACTCCCGCCTGCAACTTCCCACTGTGCACCGTGGAAACAGGTTGATTGTTGACTTTTGGAATCTATCTTTAGGCAAAGCTTTAAAGAATTAAAGCAACATAATTATAATCGTTTTTCGACTCTGTTTTCAATTTAGAGGGCAAAACTAAAACATTAGCCTGGAATCATATTCATAGAGAGAGACAGCTCTGCCTTCAGCTCAAAGTCCCGGCCCCCAGCCCCCTACGGTCCCCTCTTCTTTTGTTTCTCCCGCCCCCCCAAAAAAATCCCTTCTGGCCCACCGGCCCCCGACCTTTCTGCCGGTCCAGCTGCCTTTCAAATTCGATCCCATCCGACTCCACTCGGAAGAGCTTGACGGAGCCGTCCTCGCAGCCCACCTGCAGAGACCAGCCCAGCGTCGGTCAGAACATCCGCGCTTCCTCCCGCGCCCGCCTCCCCTGCCCCGAGAGCCCCCCACTCACGCACCGCCAGCCGGGCGCCGGTGGGGTCTGCCGCCATGCTCCAGAGGGGCCCCCCGAAGGCGTCGAGCGAGCCCTTGAGGCGCAGCCGCTGCAGGTCGTACTCCAGCACCGCCCCGCCCAGCCCGGCGCCGAAGAGCCGCTCGCCCGCCGCCCAGCACAGCGCCTCCGGGGCGCGCGCCTCGTGGCCCGGGATCACCTGCGGGAGACAGCAGCGTCGGGGAGGCCGGCCGGGCAGCGGACCCCGCGGAGCCCCCTCGCCCCTCCGCCCGCCCGCCCGCCCGCCCGCCCACCTTCTCCTGGGCGCCGTTGGCCTGCAGGTCGTAGAGCTCCACGGCGCCGTCGAGGCGGGCGGCGGCCAGGCGGCGGCGGGGCGGGCGGGCGCCGGGGGCGGCCAGGCAGCGGACCCCGGACGGCACGAAGGCGAAGAGCCGCGCGCGGTGCACCTGGAACTCGCCCATGGCCGGACAGGCTCCACGTGCGGCGCTGCCCCGGAAGCGGAAGCCGAGGGGGGGGCGGGGCGGGGCGGGGCTGTGGGCGGGGCGATGGTGCAGCTGGCCGTGCGCCGGTGAGTCCGGGGGGGGGGGGGGGGGGGGGGGGGGGGGGGGGGGGGGGCGCCCCGTCCTGACCGGCTCCGTCTTGCAGGGCGGCGGGCGGGGCGGCGGAGTGGCTGCTGCTGGAGCTGCAGGGGCAGCTGGAGGCGCGCGGCGGAGGCGGAGGAGGCGGAGGAGGCCTGGCGGGGCGGCTGCTGGGCGACCTGCACTTCACCCAGGAGGTCAGCGCGGGGGGAGGGGGAGGGGGGGGGGGGGGGGGGAGGGGGGATGTCCGCTGACCCCCCCCGGCCGTCCCGTTCTCCGTCTCGCAGGGCGCGCCGGTGCTGATCGTGGGCCACCACGTGCTCTACGGGAAGGCGGTGCGGCTGGAGAAGGCCGTGGCCGTCCTGCGCAGGGGAGCCGCCGCGCCCGAGGAGCCCCGCGGCCCCGCCGCCTACGAGGTCGCCGCGCTCATCCGCACCAAGCTGCTCTTCAAGACGCGCCCCAAGCCCATCGTCCCCAGCGCGGCCAGGAAGGCCTGAGTGCCCTGCAGCGCTCCCGCCTCGCTGCTCCTGGGCTCCCGGGTTGGCCTCTGGTCGGAGGCTCCAGAGCTTTGTCCCTCCCTCTGGTTGGGGCCCCGGTTCCTTTTGGGGGGGGGAAAGAACGGGAACCGGCTCCTCTGTTTACAAAGCTTTATTATTGTAACCAATGTAATAAAAAAATCCAAACCTGTTTTTTAAAAAATGAAAATGTAAGTAAAAAATAAATAAGCATACAAATAACTTTTAAGTGTTCAACTAGTGTTAATAACAAAGAGTACAAAAACTTCTAAAAGGACTGTCAGGAACCCCAAAGAATCGGCCTACAAAGGGAAGCAGCTGAAGCCCAGCAGGAGAACAGCAATAGCACTTAGGTTTATATACCACTACAGCCCTCTAAGCAGTTGATCGAGTCACCCTCCTGCCCCCCCCCTCACCTGGCTCCTCCTTTTGCCCACTTTGGAAGGATGGCGGGCCAAATCAACCTCAAGCCTGTCGAGATCGAACTCCTGGCAACGGGCAGTGACTTAGCCTGTGGAACTGCATTCTAACCACTGAGCCACCGTGGCTCAAAGAGCAAGAAGAGACAGCCAGTCCAGAGGAAGCCCAGCCAAAAGGGGCTGGATCGTGGCTCTCCTCCCCAACACACTTTGGCCTTGGCCAGCTTGGGGAGAGAAGCTCCTTGTGAAAGGTAGCAGCCTCTGCACCTGACCTTTCCTCCCACTGTGGCCTTGAGACCTGTGCAAAAAGGCAGCACTGGAAGAAACCCCCTGCCCGCCTTTGAGGACCAATGACAGCCCTTCCTCTGCATCAGTTCTCAAAATTACCAGTCGGCACACAGCAAGAAATGGGCTGGGCGAAGGCGCTGAAGCAGGAGTAAGCTCAACTTGGCTGCAGAGCTATTGCTCTGTGGAATGACAGAAAAACCCTGTGAGATCCCAAAGACTTTTGGGATTTGTACCAAGGAAGGCCCTGGTCCTCTTGGTGGCTTGGCAACTTCAGCATTTCAAGCCAATAAAAAAACCACAAGCAGACTTTTGCTCATTTCTTGCGAAACCCCCAAATTGCATTTCAGAAGCAAAATGTGTAAATCAAACCTGTTTTGCAGAATATCTAGTTGCATGATAACAATTGCTGGTTACAGAATTATTTTCTCAACATAACATGTTCTATACAAGGCAGGTATATGCCTAATTGGAGAAGGATGTATATAAATACTTTTTTTGGTTTAGAAATTAATGCCCATAGTAGACTAAATGAGGGATGCTGTGATACCCTCTCACCGGTCTGAGTCAATAGAGCTGCCTCTGGGAAAGAGGAGGAGGAGGAGCCATATAATGGGAGTCCTGTGCAGCACCTGCCTCTCCCCCCCCCCAATGTGCCACAGAACTAAAGGAGGCTGAGAGGCCTGGATATCGGGTAGGATTGGGAACTTCCATCAGCAAGGAAGATGCACAGAACCCAGGAGAGCAGCCTATGAAGCTTCACTAGTTCTCCAAATGTGCTGGAGTTTAATTGCTGGCTGGGGATCATGGAAGTTGAAGTCCATATATCTAGATGGCAGCAGAGCAGTAAAAGTGTTAGTGCATTCAACACCAAAACATTTTGTCATTATAACAAGTTTCCTCAGGCCATGGAACTTGCATTCTTTTAAATGTGCAGGCCTTATTTACAGCATATCCTTATTTCTCATAAGCTAAAAAGTTTTAGAGCCAAACATGATCAGAGTTGGAAGGGACCTTGGAGGTCTTCTACTCCAACCCCGTTCTCAAGCAGGAGACCCTAATTAACGGCTGTATGGTTTCTTCCTAAAAGCTTCCACCCACAACCTCTGAAGGCCGGCTGCGGGGTGGGATTTGTAAAAAGCAGAGCACAATCTGGCAACAGATGTACAAGGCAGGACACTCCAGAAAAGGCTCCTAATTTTTCTGCGATGGTTTAAAATATTGCTTAAAATGTAGAAACTTGCTTTTCAAAATAAGATGTAAACATGCAGAGTTCTGGGCTTCAGGAATCCTCTTCAGCACTGAAACTGGGAAGAGCTGCCTTTCCTCTAAACTCCAGCAGGGGGCAGGCAGGATCTGCGCAAGGGAATGCCTGAGCAAACCTGTGACCGTTTCAGATGCTGGCTAAGTAGGAAGCTGTCAAAGGGGGGGGGAGGCATCATGTTCCCTCTCAGTGGAATGACAGATTGCAGTAAAAGCTCCCACCACTCCTGAACTTGAAGCCCTGTGAGTTCCGCCCCAGCCCCCAGCCCCTTCTTGCTGGAGGAGGGAGGCAAGGTGTATTGAGGGCGGAGCGGTTGAAGCAGAGAGTAGGATGGGAGCCCATGAAGCACCACTGCTGCCCCTCGTCCCACCTTCTCCCACTTGGAAGTAGCACCGTGGGGGAGTCTGTAGAAAAGCCCCAGAGACTTATGAGGATGAGGGGCGTGGACAGAGGTAGAATGTCCTAGTAGTACCACAATATTACAACCACATGGTTGCAGACAAAAACAAACCCCAGCCCAGCTAAACTTTGTTAAATCAGGTGTCATCCATGTGCTTGACAGCATGTAAATATTGGTGGAAAATCAGGAGTGGCTGTAAGGCAACCAGCTCTTCCGGCTGAGGCCTCCCTGTCTGCAGCTATCATGGAGGGGGGAGGCATTCTGGGAGGCTGGGAAAGTTCCCTTTCTGGTGGGCAGCTCATTCAGGACACTCTCCCAAAAAGGAGCTTTCTGGCCTCTGCCACCCTCCCCTTTATTCCTGCAGTGAAACAACCGGAAGAAACCATATCGCTTTCCCTACATTCTGCATCTCCAAAGAGGATCTGGTAGAGGCCCCCCCCCCGCCTCCTCAGCAATGTCTCCAGATGGTGATTGCCCCAAACTATTGCCTCTGAGGGCCACCATCTTCATCCCCTCAGGAGAAAGTCACCTTCACCCCCTCAGGAAAGTCTTGTTTGCATAGGAGGACCGGTGAGCTGCTGCTAAGGTCCTTCGCAGGAGTCCGGGTGGGTCTTTCCACCAGTGACCAGCCCCTCAGGAGGGGAAAGCAGAACCCCTGCTTTCCCCTCCCCCTAACGAAGAGTTCCAGCTTGCTGAGTTTGCCAGCTGCTTCCAGACAAGCCACATGAAATGCTGCCATAAGCAGGGTGGGGCCAGCCCTTCCCATGCCTCAGCCACACAGGGAAAGGGCTGGCCCATGGCGTTTCTTGCTCCCTCCATTATCTTCCTGCAGCATCACACCTCTGCGAAGGCCAAGCTGTACTGCTCCTGTGGCTTGCTGCAGCGCCTGGCCACGATGGCCAGGTAGAGGGTGAGCAGGACCACCCAATAGCAGGCGTACAAGATGGCCCCTGAGATGAGGAAGACCAGCTCGGTGTCTGTGAAGAGGTCCTGGCGGTAGGCTGTGTATGCCAGCCCGCCCAGCAGCACCGCCACCCAGACCGAGACGGGGATGAGACCAATGAAGTTGACCACAATCCTTTTCCTGCCAGAGGTGCCCCAACCGGATTTGTTGATGGTGGCGATGGCAAACATCTTGGCCGGCAAGAGGCTGGACATGTAGAGCAAGGAGTAGAGGGACATGAAGATCATCTCTGCATTGCCCCGCAGGAAGCAGGCATAGGTGGCCTTCACGATGCCCACCAGCTGCACCGTCAGAAGGAAAAGGAGGATATTCCAGACACGGCCACGGTAGAACAGCTGGATGACGGTGGCGATCAGGAAGAACGGGAAGAAGCCGGTCACCACCGACTCATAGGTCATCCAGAGGTGGTGCTTGTGGAACCAGAGCGCGTTGTAGAGCCACTCCCGGAAGTAGGACTTGCTCCAGCGGGTTTGTTGGTTGAGCCAGCGCAGGTACCGGGTGGGGGTTTCCGTCAGGCACTTGGAGCGTGCCGTGTACTTCGTGTGGTAGCCCAGGCTGAGGACACGGTTGGTGAGGTGCCGGTCGTCCCCAAAGCTGCACTTGCTTCCCAGGAAGGTCTGGTTGTACCAGTCTTCCAGAAACTGCTGCAACAGGGAGTTGCGGTACATCCCCAGGGGCCCACTGATGCACTGGACGCACCCAAAGTAGGACTGGCAGGCCCGCTCCACATTGAACGCCATCCAGTACCGCACACTGCTTAGGAAGGAGATCCACGAATCGTACTTGTTGAGGATCTAGGACAGAAGGAGAGGGGTTGGAGCTGTCCTGCTCTGTCCTGTCTTTTCTCCAAACTCAGTTTCCTATGAGATGACCGCTCAAACTTTGCATTTATTCCTGGTTTGTTTAATAATTGTTTATTAAAGAAATTAGGTAGGATTGCACATAGCACTAAGCCACAACTTTAGTTTGCAATGGCTGAGTAAAACATGAATAAGCATGTCACAGAGTTGCAAAATGTCCAGGATTAAATGGAAGGGCCAGATTCTAAGACAACACAGAAATCAGGGCTGGGCAGAAAGAGAAGCTTCCTCTCCAGGGAACTCCCCCCCCCCTTGTGCTCCCTGAGCTTTCATGTCCTACCTGGACATCTCCACCAACACCACCGACACGGGAGTCCTCCTCCAGGATCCGGAGCATCTCCACCGTGCAGGCAGGATCCAGAACGGTGTCCGAGTCACACACCTGCCCAGGAGAAAGGGCCATCATGGCCCAAGGGAAGATTTACACACAAGGAACTCTTCCCCTTTAGCAAGGCTTGAAAAGCCCCAGGAGTCAGTGCAGCAAGGAGAGACAGCAAAATGCTTGGATGGTTCCTTCAGGCAGTGCCTGTCCCAGAGACCAAGGGAGCCTTGTTTGACTGGCATGGAGCAAATCCTCCTCATGTGGGGCAGAACATCCCCGGGTCCTTTACATGTAAATGGAAAAGGAGAGAAACACCCCTTCCTGGAGAGCTGCTAGAAAAGATACGTGAGCCCAGCCCAGAAAGGGTTATATGGGAGGGGGGGGCCGCTGGAAGGGCGCCATCTACTGGCAGTCTCTGGCAAGGAGTCCCTTCCATCTGAGAAATGGGGACAGTGCCTCTCCTTCGCCAGCTCCAATGGGGCTGAGGAGACCCAGCTTCATAACCCAGGCCCTACATTCCCAAGACCTCTGCCTTCTTCTTCAGTGGTTAGGTGCCAGGGTGGTGGGGGTGGTGGCAGGAGGACAGAGAGGAGAAAGGCCTTTTATGCTGGCACCCACCTGCACGTAGTCCACCGAGTCCCCCAGGGCCCGGAAGGCGGTGTACATGACCTCCCGCTTCCCCCCCCCACTTCTGCATGATACAGGAGTGGGTGTGGTTGCGGACAAGGCTCTGGACGTGCTGTGTGGCCTTCCGATGGGCCCCCTCGGTCTCGTCCAGCGGCTGAGCGTGGAAGTTGCTGCTCCAGATGTAGGAACTGGTCTGCTCCGAGCCCATCACCTCCTGGAAGATGTCCAGCATGTAGGTGTCCTCCTCCCCGTTGCCATCCACCACCATCACCACCTTCAGGCCGGGGAAGGAGATGCGCTGAACGGAGCGCAGGCATTGGCGCAGGTAGTTGGGGTCCTCCTGGTAGGCAGCGATGCAAAGGGCCACCGAGGCTTGCAGCTTCAGGGGTCGCCTCTCCAGGCGCATCTGCCGGTGCTCCAGGAAGGCAAAGAAATTCTGGATGAAGAGGTGGAGGCCCAGGATGGCCCCGTAGAGCCCAAAGGACAGGTAGTGCTGCTCTGTGTGGATGAACTGGTAGCCTGTGACATAGGCAGCCAGGATGCCCCCAAGCACCGTCACAGCAAAGAGGGTGGTCCCCGAAACACGCAGGGCTGTGGGGAGGCTCACGGGCATCTGCGGAAGGAGGGGGAGAGGCCTGCTTATACAGATGGTAGTACTCTCACCCATGGCGGTTTGTGCCCCCACCCCTGCGCGGCCCCCCCCTTCAGGCAAAAACCGGCACCGGCACTGCTGCTCCTTCCCGGCCCCCAAGGAGGCCTGGAGCTGGGCTTTGCATTCCTCCCAGACTGGCCTTTCCTCTGGGCGGGCGGGCAGGGGGAGAGAGGAACTCTTGCCCAGTTCTAGGCCCGAGACCCGTCGGGGACCCTAACACATGGCGCAGCTGCGCCGGGCACAACCCGGTTCAGCGCAGAAACGGGGAGGGGAGCAGGACACGACAGCGGCGAGCTGGCTCTCAGGTCCGGACAGGGCAGGGCGATGAGGCGGCGGCCACTGCCCTTTCCTGCTCTACTCCGCTCCCAGAGAGCCCGACGGAGCAGTCTCTGAGGGGCCCGGTGCAAACGGGGACGGCCGGGCAGTTTCAACACGTCTGCAGCTCGCTCTTCCCAGGTCCGCGCTGCCTTCCCCTCCCGCCGCCGCCTCCGGCTGCAGCGACAGGTCCTTCCTCGTCGCCTATCCTGCCATGCAGCCCAGTGACGGTGCCAACCAGGCGCCTCTTCCTAAACCCTGCCTGGAATCGCTCGAGGAAAGAGATGCGTCGCCGCCCGACGTGCCAAGGAGCAAGAGGCCACCGCGGAGCATCTGCAGAGCGCGCCCTCCCCCCTCCCGTCCAGAATGCAAGCAGGGTCCGGGCCGGGGATCCTCCCCGCCGCTTCTCGTAGGGAGACCCACCGTGCCGTGGCGTTCTCTTTCGGACTCCGAGCAACGCTGCGTTTTAAAGTGCCCGACCTGGCCCCGTCGGGGAGAAGAGCCCAGCCCAAGGGGAGGGGCGACAGCGTGACCTACCTCTCTCTGCAGGTGCTCTCGCCCACCGCCCCGCCCCTCCCCCGGGTCCAGCAGGGGCTGCCACGGGCGCGCTTTCCGTGGGAAAAAGATTTGGGCAGCGCAAGGGCGACGCAGCTCCGGAGATGCGGGATGAGAGGACGGTTCCGGCGGCCAAGACTACGGAAGGGCGAAGGCGGCTCGGCTCCGCTCGGGTTCCTGCTCAGCCTCCTTTCTCTTTCCATGAGCCCGCCTGCCTCGAGGCAGTAGCAGCGGAATAGCCGCCGGCGCTGCCCCGGGAAGGAGACCTCTGGGCAGGCGGAGGAAACCGGTCCCGACCCCGTTCCCCGCAGATCGGCTCCGAAGGCCTCTCTCTGGCACCCAGATGGCATCTCCCCGCCAGACTTTCTCTCGCGCAGACTTAGAGCGACTCTTGCGCAAATCCCTATTTAGCGATCCGTTGACCCAGAAAGACCCCATTCAAGATACGGATCAGAGGCGCCACCAAGGACACGCAATTCTCCAGCAAAGGGCGATGGAAGCCGTGGCCGACACTCCCCTGGCCGGTTTTCAGTGATGGGAGGGGTTGCCGGAGTCTCTGATGGTCCTGCTGTGCTGGTTTGAAGGCGCACCTGGCATCGCTGGCCCAATTTAGCCACTTCTTAGACCAATCAACTGCCCTTACAGATTTACACCAAATGCCATAGATTGCATACATCTCTCTCCGCCCCGCTCTCCCCTTCCTCAATAGCTTTCAAGCAGGGCCAGGATAGAGCAAAGGTCCAAGAAGGTCCCAAGAGGCACTTTCCCAACTGGGCGATTCCTCTTCAGGGCGCTGCTTTTCGAGTGAGAGCCCACAGTCCACGTGGCCTCATTCCAGAGGCTTTGGGCTCAAATGGGCCCCACTTGGTTAAAAGCAGCACTTTTGGGGAAAGCAGCATTTATCCCCCAAAGCAGAAACAGTTAATTGCACACAAGGCTGTTTCTTAACTGGATCTTGTTCTTGCTTGCCTGTCACCTACACGCACAAACACACACATCCCGTTCACACCCCTTGCCTTCAGATGTAGCAGAAATAATCGTGGAGATTAATTTCATATGATAAATTTAGCACAAAGGTCTACCGACTGCAGAAGTTTCCCAGGAAATCACAATGCCCGTAAAATTACAGTGGAAAAATCTGCATCGAGAATAGAGTTCAAAATCCAGTCAAGCAAATCTATTATTAGATTGTGTTTCCCCCTCCCCGCCTTCTTCCTTTTGCTTTTTGCATAAAAACGAATTTAAGCCAACTCCTTGCTTTGATCTGCCCAAGGCAAAGAATTGGCCCAAAGACTCCTTGGGTTCTCCTGAGAGGATCTACCAGCTCCCCCAACCTGGTGCTCTTCTAGACATCCCTCTATGTCCCCAAATGCTAAGTTTGCAGGTGTCATGGTCACCTGTGTGGCACACCTGGAAGAAAAGTGGTTGGGGAAGGCCAAGTCCTGCTCACTTCATAACCAAACCAAACCCTGGGTTCAAATCCCTCCTGTGTCCTAATCACACAAACCGTGCACCAATTGCTCCTCTTGAAGAATCAGATTCCTTGTAAGGAAGAGAACTGTTTGCCCAGATTCAGTTTGGCTTGGCTGGTCCTCCTGGCTTCCCTTGTGCCAGAGAGCATCCCTTGTCTGGACAGCACAGTAGCCTTCCAATAAGGCGAGGGGTTCTCCTTTTGAGACCAAACATCCCTTGAGAAGCACTAAACTCCCTCAACTGCAGGTGCCAGCAAAGAAGAGAAACAAGCAGATCGATGCCAGAGGAGGAAATGCACAAAGTTTAACCCTGAAGGAAACAAAGTGCAAGAATGCAGAGGTGGGGTTGGTTACTTGGTTTGGCACCCAGAGCCAGAATTGGGTCTCACCTTCCTTAGGCAGTCACTAGCAATGGCTGATCCTTATTTGTAATAGTCCCTTTTTAGATGCACTTTTATGGAGAGAAGAGGCACCGTCCAGGCTTGAGGGTCATCAGGCAATGGAATGTGAGTTGAAGGACACACTAAGTTTCCCACAGAATCTGAAGATCTAATGCCCTTCCTTTCTTAAGCATAAGAACCCTGCAGATAATTACAGGAATTAAGTTGATGAGCTCAATGTTCTTCCGCGCAGAGCCTCCAGTACTTCTGGGCTTTGCACAAGAGGAGTGCTGGAACTTCTCTCCCTTTGCTAAAATCACACCTCAGAAGTTCTGAGCCTCCACCTCTGGCTGCAAAGAGACTCTCAGTCCCGATTTACATATCCTGGTTTGGCTGCAATGCCATTTCTTGGTTTTGGGTTAGTGCATTGGGGGAACCTGGCTCTTACGGTTTGTTCCATAAACCAGAGTTGAAGCAATTGAAGGTGAGCATAAATGAGAATGCAGCTACGTTCTACCAGACAAGCCCTGGACTGTGTTCAAAGCCAGGCCGTGGGGCAGGGCTTCCTCTTTTCACCTAGTCCCTGGTGGGGACAATGCTCCAACCTGCTTCAGAAAAGGCCCTCCTGGATGCCACATTGTCCCACTGCTCAACATCCCTTTCCTACATGAATGCTCTTTCCCTACCCCACCAATCGTCAGAGTATAAACTTTATAATTCCATGAATTATCTAATTCAAGCCTGCTTCATTCCAAGTCTATTTTCGGTTTCTACAAGGGCCCCAGAAAGTTAATTTTATCTTTTTACAATCTAAGTGTTTGAAATTCACTCTCACCACTCTGCTCCAGTTAAGGGCGCACAAAATAAACATACCGACCCAACTCTCCCCCCCCCCCAACAGCCCACCTGCCGGCTGCCGAGTCTCCTGGCAGAGGAGGGGGAGAGCTGCTCAGCTGGCACAGCACCCTGGCCCTCCTCTGCTTGCGGAGGGGTGGGGGTGGGGGTGGGAGGCGGTGGCGGGCTGCAGGCAGGTGAGGCGCTCTGAGAGACCAGGAAGTGGGGCCGCTCTACCTGGGCGATTGGACCTTCAGAAGTTGTTCTTTAAAGCCTCTTCTCGATTAATGGAGGGCCGCGGGGGTCCCTCCGACAGCACGCAAGAGCTGTTGCTAGCGGAAAGATACCCGGGGCTTGAAACACGAGGGTGTCCTTCACGGTCTCACTTTCCGTCCTTTCCCACTGTAGGCACAGGCTGCTTATCCCCCCTCCCCCACCTCAACAGAAGAGAAACGCACAGAAGAGCGCAGAATGGGAAGCCCGTGAAATCAAAGGCACAAGACACGCAGACGGGAGAGTAACACGGGTGCCAACGGCGCTCTCTACCTTCCCTCACTTCTGCGTCCTCACGAACCGGCCCGTTTCCTCTACTTTGCAGAGGCCGCGTTTCACGTTCCCCTTTCTTTTCCTCCTTTCTGGGGCTCTTCCTCAGCTCCAGCTCTTACTTTTCCAGTCCCTCCTCCAGGAGTCTAAACCACGGTTTATTAATTGCATCACTGGCTGGGCTCACAAATTCAGGAAACCATAAACCAGAGTTGCAACTACAACGGCCGAGTTGATCTCAGGCGCGAAGCCAAACCAAACCAGCCCGATTAACGCTTATTGGGGCGTTCCGGGGCGACCGCAGCTGCAGGGCGCCTTCCGCATCGCTCCCTGTTCAGAGGGACTTTGTCGGCCGCCTTCTCCTGGAGCAGCGCAGCCTCCCCTTCCTCCGCTCTCCCCCCCGCCCCCCCAAACCCAAACCCCGGACTAATTCCACGCTTCTCGAACGCAACGAGAGCTCCGTACAAGTCCGGGGCTTTCCCCTTCTGCTGCAAAGCCGCGCAGGAGCCAAAGAAATCCCCCCCCCGCAGGGCTGCATGAAAAGAGCCCCTCCAGCTGGGCGAGGGCAGCCGACGCCAAGGCAAGCACCACTTCAGCGCTTCGGCCCCTTTCGCCCTGGAAGGCGGGCGAGAAGGGCGGCAAGTGCCGCTCCCCCCGCGGCTCCATTGTGCAGCCGGCGCGCCTTACCTTCCAGACTCCCGAGGCTCCGCGCCCGGCCGGGAAAGGGGAAGGCTCCCTCGGCAGAGGCCCCGCCGAACCCCGAGCAGCCCCGCGAGCGGGAAAGGCGCCCCACCGCGGGCAACAGGCGAGCCGACGAGGGAAGCTGCCCGCTGCGCCGTCAGTCCCGGCGGGGACCCTCCGCTGCGGGCCCAGGCACCGCCTCCTTTCCGGGGAGGGGGTGAGTGGACCGGCCGGCAGGCAGGCGCTCCCCAGCCAGACAATGACAGCTCTCCGCCGGCAGCTACTCCGGGCGGCCGCATCAGCTCCAACGCTTCGCCCACTCCCTCTGCCGTTCTGGGGCTTGGTTTTTTTGGGGGGGGGGGCGACCTCCGAAGCATCCCCAAGCCAGACCTGCTACTCTGACCCTGCCAGCCAGGCCAGCACAAGGCAACCCTCACCTTCCACTGCTCCCAGCTGCCATTGTTCCCTATCACAGCCCTGCGAGGTAGGCTGGGGTGAAGGACAACCGGCCCAAAGTCTCCCAGGCTGGTGGTGACCCCAGAGCTCTCAGCTTCTACTCCCATCTCTTTTCCGGAAACCTTGAAGGGGGGGGGCAGACACAAGGCCCAAGGAGATGTCTGCCTTAGGGCCCTCCTGGGGGGACAGGAGGTTCTTCCAAGGTTCTCGGGAGACGGGGTTCCCCCCCAAGCCGCTCCTCCGCTAATGGGGGTGGCACACACACAAGCCCTACAGAGGGGGACAAGAGACTGAGAAGGGGAAACCGGGGTTCCTTAGTGGGGCAGGGACTGCCAAGAGGGTCTCTTTCCTCGGCAGGAGCCAGAGGGAAGTCTGGCCTCACTGGCCACGCAGCCCAGGAAAAGCCATCGAGACAGGCAGCCCAGGGAGTGTTGGGGGCCACACAAGGCCCCTCAGAGGTGCTGCCAGGCAGGTTCACAGCCATGGTGCGCCATTAACCCTGCTTGGATTTGGCCCTGGTGGCTCCCCGCCAAGCACACTCCACCCCCCAAACTCTGCAGCCTCCTTTCCAAATATGCCACTACTGGGCTTAATTTATTGCCTTGGCTGATCTGCTCCCGTCCCCTCCAATGCTTCTCTCGGTGGGGATGGAGCCCCACGCAACAAAGCTGCGCCTGTACAGAGTCTGCCCCGCAGGGGCAAAGTTCACGCGGAAGTTGCCAGGGAGGCCACGGGCGAGGGCTTTTGAGTGGCAGAGTTCCGTGGCCATCCGGAGCAGCCGCCTAGGGCAGGATCTCAATCTTCTTCTGCAGCGTCTGGGGGGGGAAGAGGAACTGCCTGAGGAGGCCATCCAGCTCCTCCAAGGCCAGCTGAGCATGCAGCACTGTCACCTCATCTTGCTCGCAGCGCACCACGAACTTCAGCAGGCGGTAAAGATCCAGCAGGACATCGCGGAGAACCTGGAAAGGGGAGCAGAAATTACAGCAGAGTTGGCAGCCCCTCCCCCTCGAGGCCTTTAGTCCAAGCCCCGGCTTGACCTTATGCCATTCCAGACCAATGGCTGTCCATCTTTTCGTGACAATCTCCAGGGAGGCCCTGAGCCCAGGTGAGCGTGGAACCAGCCACTTGAGCTCAAGGAGGGGTTTTATTCCTCCTCCAGTTCCCCCCCACAACAGCAACTCCGTGAGGTGGGTTGGGCTGAGAGGGAGCGACTGGCCCAAAGTCACCCAGCCGGCTTTCATGCCTAAGGCAGGACTAGAACTCACCTTCTCCCGATTTTTTCAAGGCCAGTATTTAATTATTGCACTAATTAATCTTACACACCTTTCTGGAGGAAAGGTGTAGACAAACTTTCCTGGGCCAGTTCCAAGAAAGTGGCAATCTCTTGCCCGTAAATGCCAGGCTGGGCAAACCCGCCTCTTCTGTGGCATTTCCTGGTGGCAGGGATGGACGCAACAAAGCCCACCTGGCCTGGGATGTTTTAAGGAGGCCGCTTGGAACAGAGCAGCTCTTCTGAGGGGCCGAGGGAGGCCAGTGGAGGCTTCTCAGCACTCTTCTCTTGTATCATGCCCACAGAAGGGCAAAGTGCTCGCTCCCAGGAATTCGGGCAGGGGCCATACCAGCCCTGAAGCAGGTTCAGCGGGGCCTCCTTTCCTCCACGCCTGGCCACAGGAGGACATGCCCAGCCTCCTCCCCCTCTACACGGAAGCCCTGCCAAGGAAGCAGCCGGTGGCATACGGCAGGGCAGAGCTGGGTGGCCCGCTCAGAAGACTCACCTCCACCGCCTTCGTGCTGAGCCCCCGCAGGAGAAGCACCACCACGTGGACCGCGGCTCTACGGACCTCAGCTTCACGGTCGGTTTTGACCACAGCTGCTAAGCAGGCGGCCAGCTGTCAGAGAAAGGCAGGGCCCTCAGAACAGGCCAGAGAGTGGGAGGCTACGGCCGCCACAGGGGAGAGAGGAAAGCAGGTCTTCCTTTGCGTTAAGAAAGGGCAGGCACTGACCTCTGGGGCCTTCGAGAACCCTAACCGAGGGCTGACTTACTCCACCAGCAGAGACCGGGACCCAGTGGAGACCCCGGCGGCACCCCCTGCTGGGTCACAGCATCTGCAGACCTTTGCTGACCCCCCCTCCCCAGAGCTCAGGTGCTTTGGTCCCAGGGCCAGAGCTGCACGTAGGGGGCAAGGGGAGCCAGAGGACCATGGCTTCCACGCACCCCCAGCTGCATCTTTCTGTTCCTGGGCTCAAGGTCAGCCTGCCTTCTCCACACCCTCCAGCAGCTTCCGCTGAGTCAGCTGGCACCTGGCTTGCTGCAGCGCCAGAAACCGTTCTCAGCCGCACAGACGTGACTGCAAAGCTGCACCTCCTGTCCACGTACTGGAGGCCCAGAGCAGCCTTGGCAAAAGGCCCAGCTGCACCACAACACTCCTGCATGGCTCGGCTACCACAACAGCATCCGCGGCACTCAGGCTGCCACAGCTGCAACGTCGCAAAGCAGACCAAGATCCCCTCTTGTCAAGTCAGTTGTATCTCCTCGTGCATTGCAGAACCACAGGAGGGTGTCTCTGCCCAAGGAAGCCTCCAAGGCCTCACAGCGCAAGCAGCCACCGCTGGAGAAGATTTAGGGTTCGGTTCCTTTTTGAGAAAGGAGGCTGGGAACCAGAGATGCTACCAGAGATCCCCCCCACCCCACCCCACGTTCGATGGCCGGCCCTGGCTAGTGTCTCTGGCTGAAGCAAAGGTTTGTGAGCGACACCTGAGACCGTGAAGGGTTCAACTCCTGGGAGGAGGGGAACGATCTGCTGGAGGAGCAGCACAATCTGCTGCTGCTGCTGCTGCTGCTGCTTAGTGGAAAGACGAGGCAGGACCAGGAAGGTCCACTGGGAGCCAGAAAACTCCCAACTGTGGCACCCCGAGGGCTGCAAGGCTCCAGCAGGAGCAGCAGCCACAGTGTGGGAGGAGAAAAGGGGCAGGTACCTCGTGGACCACCGACCCCAGCTGAAAACCAAGGATCTGGCACAACTCTCCCAGGTTGGACAGGCTGCTGGCTCTGAGGGAGTGGTCAGGATCCCGGACTCCTCGCAGGAAAGCATGAATCAGCGTGTCTCTGTGCTGGAAGACCAGATCTCCTGCAAGGAGGAGGCAAAAGAAGGGCCGGGTGACTGAAGAAGTTCTTGGCTGTGAGATGGGATCTGCGAAGGGGTGCAGCTAGTTGGTGGGGCAACGCTGGGCACGGCTGAGCAGCCAGCTGGAGAAGGGACCAGCTCAAGATGAGCCAGGAGGCAGCCAGCCTGTGAGCAGGCATGAATGACCACCTCCCATGGGACTCACCCATCCCAGGCCTGGGAGGCAACGAAGAGCCTTCTCTGTCCTATGATTTGCACTGCAGGCCAATGTTCCCACCTCTCTGGCTTCTAAAAAGCCTCCGTGCCTTCTTGACACCCAAATTTTAGACTCTTACTAACTTTGCACCATCATCACAAATGCGCCAGGAGCAGCTGGCCTACCGAGGCTTTGGCAGCTTCTCTTGCATGCGGCAAAAAGGGTCTGTAACAGGAGGGGGTCCCATGGCCGCCCAGCAGCCGCTCTGCCTCTCCACAAGTCCTGGCTCTTTTGCGGAAGGAAGGGGTCCCTGCCAAGACCAGTAATTGCAAGGCAAAGGGGCTGATGCCTTCCACGGACCTTCCCTCAAGCAGGAAGGCAGCCCGTCCCTCTGCAGGGCACCAGGGTCTCCCGCGTCCAGGAGCAACAATGAAAGGGTTGTGGAGGACGCAAAGCAGACCCAAAATAGCACTGCAGCACTGAAAAGGGGGGGAGCACAATTATCAGGCGTAATTTCAGCCCTAACGAGGCTGGCCGTGCCTGCAAAGGGGGCCAAGCTGGCAGCTGTGCCAGAGGCGTGCCTGCGAGCAAGAAGCGCTGTGGCCCAGGCGGCACTGCTTGAGCCCATCTGACTCCCAAGGCTGAGGAGCTGCATGGAGAATAAAAGCAGGAAGCTGGGCAGAGGAGTCAGGGGGCTCCCAGAGACGCCGACCCTCACCCCCAATGGAGACGGGGAGGGGAAACCTGGCTTCCGCAGAAGACCAGCGCCTAGCACACAGGCAGCAATTAGGGGATTATATCTAAAGACAGGGCCCTCTGCCAGCAGCAGCTCAGGCAGCCAAGAGCACTTCCAGCAGAGATAGGGGTGTGTGTGCGTGCGTTAGTTGCACTCCTGTCTGGAGGGATGGAACCAAAATGTGTTTGGGACGAGGAAGGGAGACCGAGGGGAGAGGAAGAGGACAAGAGACCCCCACTGCTTCCAAAGGCTGCCAAGAGACAGAAGGAGCAACTATGGGGAGGGAGAGCAAGAAGGCAGCTACGGGGCCACTTCTCTTGGCAGGGAAGATGGGGGCCGAGAGAGGGAAAGGTTCATCATTCTGGCCCAGGAAAAGAAAGGCACGTGGGACTGACCCGGGTCTGTAATGGGTGGACCCCCTTCAGACAAGCAGTCTGAGAGCCAGGAGACACGCTGCCCACACGGTGGCAACCACCTGCTCCTGCTGTGCCACTGCAAGGCGCCCAGGCCTGGTCCTGGGGCTGCAGGTAGAGCAGGCAGGCGGGTGGGAGGTGCAGATGGGGAAACATCTGGGCCAGATGGGAGCTTAATGAGGAGTTAGGCTCAACTGAAGGCAATTAGGCCGGGGGAGGGATGGACATGGGTGAGAGGGGTCTGTGTCCCACATGCTCTGGCAACGGGAAGGGCAGGAGGCGACACCACCCAGGCTGTGCCAGGTGGACGAGAACAGCCCCGCTGGGCCTGGTTGGAGCGAAGGTCGAGGGGGGCCCTGTGGGGGAGGGAAGCCAGTCAAGACTGGGCGGCACTAAAGGGGAGGGAAGGGACTCAAGCCCAGACAAGCCGCTCAGCTTCTGTCTTGGAGGAAGCAGTCGACCGGGCAAGGCCGCCGAGTGTCATGAAGGCGGCTTGCAACACACAGGAAGCAGGCAGGCAATTCCCGACTCTCGTTTATTGGGAAAACAAGAAGCCCAAACCCTCCTGAGGCTCAAGCACAAAGCAGAGAAAGGAAGTGACTCATTCGTGGGACCAGAGGCCTGAAAGAGGAGTTGGCTGCCTTCCCTGGAAGACTCAGGAAGGCGTTAATTGAGACTCTTATGCTGAGTGTGGCAGGAGGGTCAGACTCCATGGCCTCACAGAGCCCTTTCAGCTCTGCATTTCTGCAGTGCTATGGCCAAATGCACCAGGAAGCCCCCTTCCTGCCCTGGCCTATCTGGCCCCCCAGAGCGCCTCGCCCTTTGGCCCCTGCAGGAAGACTCACCCAGGGCTCGTGTCGTGCGCAGCAGTGCCTCCCCCAGCTTCATCCTGGTCTCCACCATCGGGGCGCCCGCGTACTGGGTCAGCAGGAAGGGCAGGACATCTTGTGGGGAGGCATCTGACAGGAGGGCCACACCTGGAAGGGGGGAGAAGCAGCACTGGGGATGCCCGAAGCAGATTTGGCAGCTGAGGGGCTGGAAGCCCCAGACACACTTGCTCTGGACTGAGCCGAGGGGGGAAGAGCAGAAGCCTTCGCAGGAACCACGAGGGCCAGGCAGCTCAACCCGTCCTTGGCCACAGAGGGTCCCTGGACAGCTTTTTGCAGCCCTTGGGACTTTGGTCCACGACTCCCCTAAAGGCACGAGAAGCTCTTCAGTTGCCCCAGCAGAGACCCCACCCTCTTCGTTTCACTATCACACTCCGCCTCCTCCCCCCCGGGGAAGATTCATGATGCCTACGCTCCAGTGGCAGACTTTGCATGAAGACGTGAACTTCAGGACACCTGAGATCGGTCACAGCTACCAAGCCCAGACCAGTGGAAGCCCCTCTCCCCCTTCACTACTTCTCACTCCTCTCCAGCCTTGGAAGCAATGGAATAACCGGCAAAAGAGCGGGAGTTGGCGAGGGGGGCACCCTTTGCCATGCCAAGAGCCACGCAAGTGGCAGGGCGGCCCCAGCGGGACTGAAGCTCTCCACAGCTGCTGCTTTTGGAAACTGTGTGTGTGTGTGTTTGTGTGTGTGTGTGTAGAATTAGGGAAAGGGAGCTCTCTCCTGCTCCGCCCCCCCCCATCTTAGCCTCAGCCCCACACCCTCCCTGCCCATCACCAGAAGTCCTTCTCAACATTCTGAGTCAACTGCAGGATATTCATCGGCTGTTGCAAGGCCGTGTTGCTCAACGCGGAAGGAGCCGCTCTTGTGCCCCAGGCTGGCAGCGCCAGGGAGTCAGCACAGGCAGAAGCCCTTCACCTGCTCAAGCCCAGCAAGGAAGGAGGTGGGGGAGGCTCTTCCTTCACCCCTCCCCTCCCTGAGAAAAACAGGGTCCAAAGGGATTCCCACAGAAGGGCTGCAACAGCAGCAGCAGAGCTGAGCCTCGGACCAATGCCTGAAGCTGAGCCCCCTGTCGCCTCCCTATCAGTCTCTTCCTTCCCATGTTTCAACAGGGCTGATCCCCCTTCTGGATACAGAAGCAAAATCAGGCTCTCCGTTCTACGCTCAGCAAGGAAGCCCAGAAATCCCACCCAGGGGCTTTTCTAGGCTCCTTAGGAAGCAGAGCTGCTGGCAGGGAGACGGGGCGGCCCCGAGACGTCTTGAGAGCCGGGGAAGCGTGAGAAGGCCTACAAGGCCATGTGCCTCTGTGCTGCGCAACCAGCCCTTCTTTGCAGAGACTGTCTCTCCAGAGCCCGTTCCTCTTCTGAACCCTGTGGGGCTGCCAAGAGCTGGCCAGGCCCAGAGCCTCCAGAAGAGCTCCCACTCCACTCAATGCCTTGACAGCCCAGGCACAACCGCAGCTGTGGAACACAGTTCAAAGGCGGGAAGGAGGAAGAGCGCCTCTGTCCGCTTCCAGAGGAGACGACGAGGGCCTGGCCATAAGGGCGATATTTGCACAGCCGTCCACCCCCGGTGATCTTGTGAAATGTCTTCATTTCCTTCCAAGGAAGCTGGTGAGATATTGCTTCCTTGAGAGTTGGTGGCTTTTCCAGAAAGGTGACCTTGCCCAGAGACAGGAAGGCAGGTGCAAGGAAGGGGCCGGCCGGAACAGGTTCATGCGACCCGCTAAAAGAGGGCAGCCCACCCAGAGGAGTGACACCAACTGACCTCGGCCGGGCTTAGGGCCCCTCCTGTCCTAGGAATGTCTCAGCCCAGACTGGGGATCAAGGAGAAGCAGGAGGGCTGTTTGCTGAAGTCCACCCTGCATCATGAGCAAACCAGTGGGAGGTCAACAGGCCTCTTTGGAGGCCATCAGAGAGGAGCAGGAGCTGAGAGGGGGGGTTACTGGTTTCCCTCAGGGATGGCCCTCCGCGTTTTCTCCTATTCCCCAAGCCCACTTGCAAAACGGCACTAAGGAAGGCCATCAGCAATGTGCACCGGGCAGATGGGCTTCCTGCCTCTGACCTGGGCTCAGCCAGCCCTCCTTCCTGGAGTATTTGCCCCCCACCCCCCACCCCCATTCTCCGAGGAGGACAGGAAGGAGCTTGTATTTTCACGGACAGTAACCGAGAGCAAGATTGGGTCTGCTTACCTTGGATAGCAGAAAGATAAACAAAGGAGTCTTTATGTTCCAGGTTTTCCACAAAAACCTGAAAATTAAAACCAAGAATCATTTTGCCTGCACAGCTGCAGCCAACTGTGTCTCTCTTGGCTGATGTCTCCTTGGCAGGGCAGAAGGTTGCCTGCAGCCATCCGTCCAAGCACCATTGTGGCTCTGATTGGGAATTAGAATTAGAAACCCTTTTGTTTCTGGGGAAGCGTTAGGGAGTTGGACAAAGGGAACAGGAAGGGGTTCCTCCAAAGGCTGCTCAGAAAGAGGGAAGCTGAGAACAACTCCACCATCTGCTGTCCCCCAGGCTCAAGACATTCAGACTGCTTGGAAGCAGAACTAAACTCTCCCAGAAAAAGCAGCTTCCTCTCCACTCGAGGTCAGCTCAGCATGGAGGCAACACGCCTGACGTCTGGGGGGAAACCAGGAAACAGAAAATCTGCTGGTGACTGAAACCCTAATTCTATATGCCTCAAGGTGGTTGGATAGAAACACCTGCATGCCTTGAATCTTCTGGCCACCAAGCAGAGCTCACAGGGCAAAGCTCGAGGGACACCTCCATCTTCTGAAGGGTCCCCCAGGCAGGCCAAAAAGGGGCTCCCTCTCAGGGCCAGCCCAAGCCACTCACATGCCATCCTCCAGGCTTTTCCCCATGAAGTGCTCTGGCTGCCTACCTTCAGCAACTTCTCCCGAGTCTTCAGGGCTCCGGGATCCTTCTGCTCGATCATCCGGGAGAGGTGGCGCAAGGCAGCAGCTCGCGTGGGAATGTCAGGGCTGTAAGCCCCCGAGAGAAGCGCCTGCAGATGGCTCTGGGGGCTGCAGGGGGCAGAGCTTTCCTTGGCAACCGAGTCCATCCCCTGAGGCTGTCCTGAGTGGCTCCTGGGGGACTTCTGGGGCAGGGGTGCCCCAGGTCTGGGGGTCCCATCTGGGGTGCCCGCGCTCCCTTGGCCTGCTGCCCCACCCACACTCCTGCCCTGGGCCTTGCAAGCAGCAGTGGGAAAGGCGCGGTGGGTGCAGATGGAGATGCTCAAGTCAGCCGCCAGCTCCTGAATGACAGGCTCCGGGTGGAGGCGGGAGAGTTCATCCAGCAGGGGCACCAGCTGCTTCAGGCTGGCAAAGTCTTCGGATTTCAGCTGGGGAGACAGCAGGGTGCACGTCAGCCATGTGCTGCCCAAGAGAGGAACCAGGGCTGATCCTGAGAACTTGGCCCTGGGCTGCCGGCAGGAAGCGCCAGGAGGGGGCACTGTGCCCAAAGCCTTTGCTGTGGTTACCGTTATGGGCGTGCGCACAGACTCTGGCAGGGCGGATAAGATCAGGCCCCAAGCTGGCAGGTGCACACGGGGAATGGGGTGGGAATGGAGCTACTGCTCTTTCCCTAGCAGCAGGAAAGGCCCAGCCAGGACTCCAGCTCAGCCCTCAAGGGAGCCGGGAAAGCCGAGTCTACCCTGCTGGCGGGGAGCCATGCCCAGCCCCGCCCCCCGCCCGGCACATCCTGCCATGCCTCGGAGGCTGCCAGAGGACTCGGGCTTTGGCCGGCCAGGAACCTCCTTCTGGCAAGCAGCAGAGCATCCAGGACCCCCCCCCCTCACTATTCCTACCTAGCTGCCGGGTATGGCCGAGAGCCCGCCTCCCCCGTCATTTCTCAAGAGTTCTGGCCTGTGGGTGGAGGGGAGCTTTTCCCTGCTTGGCACCCACCAGAAACCCCCCCACCCACCCAGCCCTCCTCCTGCAGGAAACCACAGCAGGCTTCAGCAAAGGAGGAACAAGCACCGGCCTGAAAGCTAAGGAGAAGGAGAGAGGGAGGCACCGTGTCTGGAACCGGCCCCAGCGGCCCCAGCGAGCCAAGACTTGACGAAGGAAGCTTCTAGGCTTCAGCCTGTCACAGCAAGATTTCCCCCCCTCCCACTCCCCACTTTCTGTCTCAACGCCGGTCAGAGACCAAAATTGTTTCCTCCCTCCAACCCCCCAACCACCCAGGGGGAACCGAAAGGGCCCAGTTCCTTAGCTGGCCTCACTGGGTGGGCAGAGGCTTTCCTGCAGGTCAGTGGGAGCCAGCTTGACTCAGCAGCCCCTCGCCTGGCCCCGCCCAGAAGCCCTGCTGGCCTGCAATGGCCCTCCCCCTGCAGGTATGGGGAGGGGGGGTCTTCGAATTAGGAATCAAAATGGCATGGGAGGGGGAAGGCGGATAAGCAGAGCCCAGAGAGAAACTGGACTTCACTGACTGAGGCTCAGAATCAGAAATGAAAACACTTGTGGGAACCATGAAGGCGCATCTTTCCTGCCCTTTGAGCACCTGGAAGGTCTGCAGATGCTTCCCAAAAGGCCCCATGACACCCCAATGCCTGAACTGATGCCGCCCCCGAGGCCCTCTGGCTACTCACCTGCAGGGCCCCGCCCAGCATGGCTGCCCCCAGCCCCATAGCCATGCTGAGCGTCTGGGACTCCACAGTGCCCACTGAGCCTCTGGAGAGACCTGCACAGGCCCGCTGAAGCGTGGCTGCCACAAACTCCACCACCTGTGGAAGAAACATCACCCAAAAAGCTTGCGTCTGCAGCCGACAATGGGCCCCGAGCCACTTTTGCAGCTCTAGGCTTGACAGGCTAGAGACCTTCCCCCACTGGCCTTCCCAGAAAGGATGAAATTAAGGCCAAACCCCCCCCCCCCCCCAAAAAAAATCTGGCACATCCCTTAAAGTGGGAGAGTTTGTCAACAGCCACCAAGGGATGCAGCCGGCCCAGCCAGGCCTCAGGCACAGCAGCCAGGCCACCCCAGACCACTGGAGGGACGGGGCTCTGCAAGGCTGGTGGGGGTGGGGGTGGACCAACCACGAGGACAGGACCAACCTGCCTGACATCTGTGAGCAAGGAGTCCGAAATGCCCTCGGTCAGCATGGCCACCACCCGAAGCACCTGCAGCTGCCTCATCTGCTGGGGGAAGGCTGGGTTGCAGAGCTGCTCCAGATCCAGGGGGGGCCCTTGCGAAGGGGGTGCAGGGTCCGTCTCAGAGGCCAGCTGGGTCAGCTCCTGCCGAGGGGGAGGAGCACACATTGGAAGAAGAGAGACTAAACAACTGGCAGGATATTGTCCTGCACTACAGCAGAAAAATACAAGAGGGAAGAACTGGATACATGGCTTGCTTCATACACACACACACACACACACACACACACACACGTGTGTGTGTGTGTGTGTGCAGGAATCCAGATGAGACCCATCCAAACCCTGAGTTCCAGGGGTCCTTCTCCAATCACAGCCCCATCTAAGCCCAGAGAACTGAGGTTTCCCTGCCTGGATTAGTCCTTGACAGCTGAAGGGGGACCTTGAAGGGCCACGCCTGACCTCTGCCACACGTAACGTGGCACCGATCCTACTCTTGTGGAAGGAGCACGGCATCCACACTACTACGGGGACATCCAGAGATGCTGTAGGCCCTACCTTTAAGCAGCCCAGGAAGAAGTCTCCGGCTAGGCTGCCCTTCCGGCAGTGAGACAGCAAGTCCACCAGCTGCTCCAGCTGCCACTGCTCTGAGGAAAGCTTCTGATACAGAGCCTCGTCTTCGTCACTGCCAAGGGAGAGAGCAAACTTTTCACTAAGGGACAAAGGAGGGGGAAAAAGCCCCGGAGGCTCTGGGCTGGACCATCTCTTCCATCCTTCTCGGAGCAAGTGCCGAACCTCCCCGGAAGTGAGAGTTCTTTCCTCACAGTTGATCACCTGCAGATACAAAGCTGAGAATCCTCCCCCCCCCTTCCTATATTTTGGGTAAGCTGCCTTTGGACATGCAGACTCTCTTCAGCCACCTCTTGAAGCGGAAGAGGCTGGGGCAGGTTTTCTGGCAGCCCAACACCCCACAACTGCATCCATCTGGATCAGAGTCCCCCACTGGGGAAGCACAGCAGACTCTCACCTCACAGCCTCCTTGATGGTGGCCACCACGCCCCCTTCACTGCCCACCTGGAACTGGCAATGGGGGTGGGGCAGGCAGGGGCTTCCTCTGAGCTCCGCCAAGCCTTCCAGGGCCGCCAGAGAGGCCTGTTGCTCGCTCTTCTCCAGGAACCATAGCAGGATCTCCTGGCAGGGGGTGCTGAAAACAAGGGGGGGGAGGGCATTAACCCCAGTCCAGGCGGTGGCGGCTTTGGTGAGTCAGCCCAGAATGCCCCCAAGGAAAGCTGCCTCTCCCAGAAGAAGGGCAGGATGTGGAGGTCTGTCTCCTGGGCCAGGGTGATGGGAAATAAAAAGCCGGTGGGCAATGGCCTAATGCCCCTGCCTGCTCCTCAGCACCCACCCACCCACCCACCCACCCCTTCTCTCTTACAGTTTGTTGCTAACTTTGGATGAGGGTCTTCTTTTCAGAGGAGTTGCACAATCCCCCTCCCATCCCAGGAGGGACGGGAGTTCCCACCCTGGCAGAAAAGCCAAGGCCAGCACTGGCCTTCAGCAGATGGTGGGCTCTCGGTTGACAGGAACCAGGAGGAGAACAGCTCCTGTGCCTCCAACCAGGAAGGTTTGTCCCCACCAGCCCACAAAAGAGCTCTGGAGATTCCCCCGCCAGGCCAGGCGCCTCACCGTAAGGAGGACACGTTCTGCTTGGTGAAGCACCAGAGGGAGAAGATGGCCCCCAGCACAGGCTGCAGGGCACCCAAGAGGCAAGGCGAGGGCTCATTACCCACCACGCAGACCTGCAAGGGAGAGCAGCTGAGAGGAGGAAGACCCTGCAAGGTCAATTTGCAGCCTTCGCATACACACACAGGATCCCTGCACATTGCCAGGAGCAGAGAATCCCCCCTGCCCCTTCTAAATACTTGCAGAACCACCTCTGGCTATTTTGGGGCCTTCTGGACCTGCTTCTGTGCGCCAGCTCTCCGAAACAGCTCATTAGTGCCCAAAATGCTCTCGGCCATTCAGAGTGTTTAAATGCTCAGGCTATCAAGACTTGAACCAACAGAGCAGCCCAGCCTGTTGCACAGGCCTCCCGAGACCTCCGAGCCTCCTAATGGCTCATCCCCCAAGCCTGCTTGTAAGACAGCCCTGCTCTCGGGCTGTATTCCTCCTGGGATCAGGCGGATCCTTGGAGGGCCTGCGTCTTTGGTAGAGATGGGCTGGCTGTGCTGCCGGGCAATGCTGAATTCTGGCGCCTGACAGCTGACCGAGAGCAAGATGACCACAGCGCTGGGCTAGCAAGGGTGGAGGAGAAGGCGGAGTACTTCAAGCAGAGCATGAAAGGCACGTGGGAATGGCGCCTCCCCGTGGCATTTCAGGGAAGACCATTTTGCCTATTTCAGCACAGTGAGAAGTGAGGTCACAGCTGAGGAAGAAGACGCAATCTAACTCAGTCCAAAAGCAAATGCGGGCCCTTCCTTGGCTTCCGCTCCTTCTCCCAACACTGCATACACAGAAGCATGCTGGTGCCGCACCTTGTACACTGTTTCCACGCATCCCGAGAGCAACTCCTCTTCCACCAGCACCGCCCCAGCTGGCAGGTCTTCCAGGGAACCTTCTGAAGACAAGAAAGAAAAGGACCATCGTGTGGGTGCAGCTAATGCTGGGCTGGTTTCACTTAATTATATTCCACGATATAAGTGGCAAATGAAAGAAAAGATTTAATTCCAGCATGACTTCCTTCTCTGAGAGCCTTACAGCTGCCGGGCTAGAAAATACGGGATGGGTGTCCTGGCTGGGGGGCTCTGGGCAAGGCCCTCGCTCAGCCCAACCTCCTCACGGGGGAAAAAGAGGGGGCAGGAGCATTATGCGCACTAGAGTTGTGGGAAACAAAGGCAGGATATAAATCGGAATTGATGAATAAAACTTTGATTCAACTGAGCGATACCTCAGCCTACCAAGCTTGTCTTGCCCAGCACTGCTTCAACTTCTAATACCGGATTGTTATAAGTCACCCAGAGGGACACATTTCAATCCCACTGGAGGACTCAGACCTAAGAATCCCAGAGCTACCAATTCTGGGTAGAGAAGCCCCTGAAAAAACAAGGAGGTTCCCACCTTCCAAAATGACAGAAATTTGTTTGTTTAGTCATTCAATCATTCAAGCAACCAACCAACCTCTACAGCTGCCAACTCAACCAAGTGATTCTGGGAGGCTTACAATTCTAAAATTCTAAAAACATGAAAGCGATAAGGCGTCATCCGACTCTACAGCCTGGCCAGGGGGTGGGAGGCTGTTACCTGGCTCCCCCAGGCAGCGCAAGAGGGGCTTCAGCAGGGGACGCAGCAGGTGCTTCTCTGCCTGCTGTGGATGTTGCCTCACCATGGCGAGGACAGTTGCGGTCACTACTCGTTGGAACTGGCGCACCATCAGCTTATCCTGGATGAGGAACAGCTGCAGAATCTTTAAAAGAAAGAGATAAAAGCAGAGTTTTATGCTCAAAATACGTGATGCTCGCCAGCAATATTTCTAAAGTTATGTCTTGTGGTCTGCACTCTATCACAAATTGCCTGAAGGGGGAGAGGGGAAACAGGACTACAAGGCCCCAAGGCTTAGCAGAAACCGCAGACCCCGAGGGCCAACCCAGGAAAAGGGAGTTGCTTTGCAAGGACCAGATGGAGGGGAAAGGCACTCTGCCTCGCAGGAGCCACTCCGGGACTCACAAACGTTCCTTGTGCCACCTGGGTTGTACCAGAATGCCAGTCGCTGGGTAAAGGGAAGGGGCAGAAGATGTACCTGTGGGCAAATCTGTTGACAATAATCCTCCAGGGACAGAGACTGCTGAGGACACGAGGACAGGATCTTGGCTATGGCCTCGCACTTCTGCCAGTCAGCTGCTGCCGCTTCTGCACTGCTGCCCCCCACAGCCCCAGCTGGAAAGCAGGAGGCTCCGTGTCAGACGAGCACACAGAGAACAGCCCATCCTGTGGCCAGAGAGACTCGCAATCTCCTCCACTAGGAAGAGGAGCTTCACCCAGGCAGTAACCGCCTAGCTCAGTATCTTGCCAGGCGACCTTGGACCTTCCTCATCCTTTCTGCTCTTGCCGTTTCTTAAGAGAGGTGCAAAAAGTCTGGGACTGAATTGCTCTCTGCCTAGAGGAGCCGGTTCGTGGGAAATGCCGTGCAGAGAAGAGGGACCAGCAGCAGCTGAGTGGGGTGAGAGGGAAGACCTGGGAAGTTCATGTACCAGGTTACCTTATTTGCCCCACCTAGAAGTCCAGGTTTGGTTCTGGCAAACCAAAAAACATGGGCACACAGTGATTTGTCCAGTTTCAAAATATTTTCCTGTTTCATGCAGATCCTTATTTATTAAAACAGGATCTATTATATGTAAATCTGGCTGGGCCAAGTTTAGAAACACTGGAACAAAGGACTCTTTCTGCTCTTGTCCCAGCCTTTGAATGGCTGATTTGTCAAGCCTCACTCACCTCCGGCTCCCTCCAGGATGCCATGGATCACAGCCTGAACTCCACCAGGTCTTAGCAGCCTCCCGGACAGCAGGTGCCCACAAAGGCGCTGAAGCCAGGCTGGTGCTGGTGCCATACAAGGCTCGTCGTTCTGCTGGCTGGGATGGGAGGCCTGAAAAAGAAACATATGTGCATACTGGACCATGACCAGCCCTCTTGTGCAGCATCCCTTCTTCTTCCTTACCCCGATGGGCCTTGACACCAGGCAACAGGGGCATCCCCTGCCCTTCCCCAAACAGAACGGACTCGAGTTACTTGACTGAAAGCTTCTCTGAGGGCACCATTCACCTAGCAGCAGATTCCCAGGATGGCACTTAGCAAGACTGGAGCTCAGTCAGATTGGATCGCATCCCAATTTAGACCTGGGGGCTGTTATACCTCTTCTTTTCCTCTCCCACTGATCCACGTGCTAGGAAGGCAGAAAAGGCCCAAGTTGGATCTCTACAGGCTCTCTAGGGACAGGCCGTCAAGCAGCAGGCCTGAGAAAGACCCGTTCTGCAGAGCCACAGCTAAACTAATCCAGAGGCAGCGCTAAACTGGAAGGACAGATTCTACAGAGGAATTATTGAGTCTGTCATCTGCACCTCTATAACTGTCTGGTTTGGTTCTGCAACCCAACAAGACAGACACAGAGGATAATTAGAACGGCAGAAAAAACAATTGCTACCAACCTGCCTTCCAGTGAGGACCTGTATACTGCACGAGTCAAAAAGAGGGCTGTGAAAATATTTACAGACCCCTCGCATCCTGGACATAAACTGTTTCAACTCCTACCCTCAAAACGACGCTATAGAGCACTGCACACCAGAACAACTAGCCACAAGGACAGTTTTTTCCCCAACGCCATCACTCTGCTAAACAAATAATCCCCTCAACACTGTCAAACTATTTACTAAATCTGTACTACTATTAATCTTCTCATTGTTCCCACCACCCATCTCCTTCCACTTATGACTGTAACCTTGTTGCTGGTATCCTTACGATTTATATGGACAGTTTCCTAATATGATTTGATTGCTTATTTGTATCCTATGACTATCATTAAGTGTTGTACCTTATGATTCTTGACGAATGCATCTTTTATGTACTCTGAGAGCATATGCAACAAGACAAATTCCTTGTGTGTCCAACCATACTTGGCCAATAAAGAATTCTATTCTATTCTACTCAGATCAGGGCTGGGGCATGACTCACTTAAAAGGAAGCTTCCGTGCCAGTGTTTCCCAATCTTGCCAACTTTAATATATATGGACCTTAAGTCCCAGAATTCTCCAGAACTAGCATAAAATTGGCAAGATTGAGACAGACTCTTCTATGGCTTTGGTGCTTGTTCCTCCTGGGATCAATGTCATGGTTCTCACATGGCATGAATCCACTGTCATAGGTGAGCTACATGCAAGGGCTAATTTGGGATCTCTCCAAAAATGCTTTGGGAGGAGGATGAGGAAGAAAGATTTGCAAGCAGGCACGCAAAATGGAACCAGCTCAGAGGATGCAAATCTAGTTTCTCCATGGCTCACAGTCATACCCGCTTAGGCCCCCCCTGAAGAAGCAGCAGTTCCCGGACCACCAGGGGCTGATACACTTTGTCCAAAAGGCCTTGCAAGGCTTCTTTGCAGCTGCTCTGTTCCTCTTCCGTCAGCCCCTGAAAAAAATCCCAGAGAGCTAAAACAATAAAACACGCAAAGGAATTCTCAGAAAGGCACTTATTCCAAATATCCCTTCAGCAGCCCTAGCAAGAGGCTCAGCCAACCTAAGGCAGTGGCAAGGGCCCCACGGGCACCTCCCTGCCCGGCAGAACTTTTCACCTGTAGGGCCCAAGAGCGGCTTGCTAGTCCCCCCTCCCATTTCATACTGCCCAGAGGAAACAGGGAGACACTTGCTTCACTTTATGGAAATGCCCTGCCTGGCTGCTTCTGGCAGGGAACCCCCAGGGCTGCTCCTTAGCCCTCACCTGCCTCTCAGCACCCGCCCAGGCTTTCCTCGCGGGGCAGAAGCCCAGCTGGCACAGCCCAGCCAGCAGGTCGCCCAGATGCCGCGCCAGGATCAGCCTGCCCAGCTCGGGGTACTCGGCCACTTCCACCAGGGCGTTGCAGGCGGCGAGGAGCCTCCGCGGGGCTTCGGGCTGGGCGGAGAGCAGGCCGGCCTTGTCCCGCGGCGGGGGCGCCACCCCGGGCAGCAGGTACGGGCGGAGGCCCAACGCCACCGCCAGCTGCGCCGCCGCCTGCACGGCGCCCTCCTGGGCGATGCTCAGGGCGTCAGGGCGCAGCGGAGGGGGGACCCCGGCCTCGCTCGGGCCGGCTGCGGGGCTCGCGGCGGCCAGGCGGGCCAGGCAGCGCTTGAGGCAGAGCAGCAGCAGCAGCGCCTGGCAGGCCGCGGCCCAGGGCGGGTCGGGGCCGGGGCCGGGACTCAGCCCCGGGGCCCGCCGGGCCACCTCGGCCCTCGCCCTGCGCAGGGGGGCCCACTGGGGGTCCCGGGCCAGCCTCTCCTCCAGCGCGGTCAGCCCGAGGCGCAGCGACTCCGGCGACGGGGCGGCGGGTCTCGGGGCCGGCAGCGGGCCTGCGGAGAGAAGGGAGAGGCCGGTCGAAGCGGAGCGAAGGGCCCGCGCGGCGCCCCCGGACCTGCGGCACGGAAGGCGAGAGAAACAGCCGGACCCCCCCCCCGCGCTCCTCCCGCGGCTCTCACCGGTGCCTGCGCCCCGGCCCAGCAACAGCTGCAGGCCGCCCACCGCCCGCTGCAGCCCCGACGCCCCGTCCTCGTTCCGGTCCTCGGCCGTCATGGGCGCCGCCATCTTGGGAAGGTCCGGTGAGGCTGCGCCGCGGCGACGGCGCCACCGTGGGCGGGGCCGTAGGAGGAGGGCGGAAGTTCTCGCCGGCTGCCATTTTGAGGAGGTCGAGAGGGGCGGGGAAAGGCGGGAGGGGCGAAGGGAAGCGGCCCTCTGGAGAAGGTCTCGCGCCCGGAGGAATTCTGGGAGTCCTAGGCCAGAGACCCTCTGGCGCATGCGCAGTTCAGCGAAGTCTTGGGCGGGATGAGCGTCGCTGGAAAGGGCAAAACAGGCGCTGTTTGTTCATTAAAATACTAGAAGATACGATTTCCATAAATCTGAAGCCAAACTATTCAAAATTAGCTGCAGGACCTTAAAAGAAAACTCATTTTGCCGAGTGGGAAGGACTTCAGTAATAAACGGGCTCTAAAATAGGAGCTTCCTAGGCTGCAAAAGGGCTTTAAATTCATCCTTTGGTTCCCGCGCTAAGTAGAGGAGCGGACGGGCAGCGCTTGGGAAGGAACAGAATTCTGCCGTAGACCGAAAAAACGCTTCTAGCGGAACAGAGCCATGGGCCCCAAAGAGATGAGCCTGTGCGGGGATGCACAGGGCTTGAAATCCCTTTGCTGCCTCCGCCTCCCCTCGCCTGGACCTGCGTCTCTGCCCTCAATGGGAGCAAGGGGCACCCAAGTGCTCTGGGAGAGCAGGGCGTCAGACGCCGCGGCCTTTTTGTTTCTTCGCTTCCAACTATGATTCTGTGATTTAACCTCAGACTAACAAGTGTCCTAAATTGCCCTGTGAAGGCTTTTAGAATTTTACACACATGCACACCAACCAATTCAGTGGTGTGTTAACCATTAAGCAGACTAAGCACGTCCTTGGGGCACCAGGCCAAAGGGGGCACCACAAAGTTGGGAAAGAAAAAAGTGCCAGAAAGAGTGCCTTTCCAAATGTTGAAATTGCTTTAGGAATATTTTTAACATTAATGGTCAACAACTGCACAGCAACTGAAACATGTTAAAAACCCAAAGAGATCAGTTATGGTTCAAGAAAGACTCACTGTGTGTATTAAAAATTGAAGCAGACATTCTGAGAAGTATTAATTTTGAGGATGTTATCAGTGGTTTTGCTAAAATGAAATGTAGAAAAATGCCTTTCAAGTCAAGATATTTGGAACTTTGATACATTAAACTTGTGAAATATTAAAAAGGATGTTGTAGAACTTTTATGTAGCCTAAGCTTGGCTTCGTTTGTACAGTATGTACAAAGGAGGGGGGCACCAAGATTTGTCAGTGCTTAGGGCACCAGTGAGACTTAATCCGCCACTGCACCAATTGCACTTAAGAGTCTAGAAATATGCACGACTTTTTGAAATGGTTGGAAATCACAGTACAAATTTAACACACAGTTCGTAAAGAAGATGTACCCTCACCCTGGATTTATCTGGTTATTCATCCCCACGACTTTTGAAAATGAAACAAGTCAGTAGAACATTTAGGCTAGAAAAGCATGCAATCTCAGGAGAAGGTCTAATAAATATGACAGATTCAAGAAAAGAAGTACTTTTTAAACAATAAAGTTTATTATTTTTTAAAAGCATCTGTGCAATAAAATAATTTTTAAAAATGTGCATCTGTGTAATCTTTCCACAGTATATATATCCAAAAAGGATAGCTTAACATACAGATCTAAAATTAGAAAGCCATTTTCCAAAAGATGCCCATCAATTGGGCCGTAATTATACCGTTTGGGCTAAGGAGTGGGAAACACACCACAGGAAACGAGTGGCACCTTGGCAGAAGAAACGGTTCTAATTAAAATGGATTACTTGGTAGACAAACACCATCTTGTACAGCTGTATTTTATAAGGCCCCACACAGGAGTGTGTGTGGCCTGGTCCCCAGACGAAGGCCCAAGGCGGAAAAGCTACTGCCAGGCTTTGGGCCACCGCTGAGCACCTCTCTGGCCCCAAAGCCTAAAGGAGCAGGGAGGGGTTGGCCTGGGAAAGCAACTGCTCCCACCTGTTCAGGCACTTTATGAGAAGGCACCGGGGAGTAACATCTTGTGCGAAAACCAGGTTTGCTAATTTAACTCTAAAAGGCAGTGGACAGACATCATCCAAGCCATAAACCATGACTTCCAAGCCACAATAAGAGAGATCATGCCGGATGGTTTTGCAGATGCCTTACCCGACACAGATTGGACTCCAGGCATCTGAGAGGCAAAGGTCGGGCAGGAGCATTGTTTGAAAGCATAGGCACTTGGGACAGGTTGATTTAAGGATCCTAAAAGGATTCATCCAGGAGGAGAGCCATGTTGGTTAATGGTGGCAAAAAAATCAGAAATCCTGCCTCTCTTCTGAGAGACACTCCCCATCACTCCCACAAGCCTGCCTTTGAACAGTAAAAGCCAAGGGTGGGAAACCAAATGCAACATATGGGCAGAATCCCCAGAAATATTTTTGCATAGGGCTTTGGAAACACCATGCTTGGAGAGCTCTTCCTGGAGAAAGTTCCAACAATTAGCCACCGTATCCAGACTGGGGGATTTGAATCTCTGCAGGCAGAAGCTCTCACTCCTCAACCGGGACATCAATAGGAACCTCTGTCCTATTATGTGACCATAGAGTTAGCTGTGTTTCATCCTCTGCCTCACAAAAATATTTTTCTTGCATATTTTTCCTCGTATTCTACAAGATGCATTACAATTTTGCACCAAGAAGCCAGATGTTCTTCTTAAGCAAACGAGGGTAGATGAACAAGAAGACAGAGTAGAAACACTCAGGTGAAACTTCTTGAATACAAGACCTAGCACCAGAGGGTCTTTCTGTCCTTCCAGAATCCAGATACTTTTCTCTTTCCTGGGGAAGCCTTTTCCCACTGAGGGTGTCCAGCCTTTGAGAAAGAAACTCCATGTTGCGTTGAATCAGCCTCAACAAAACCATACTGATTATAATTATCCCACAGAGGTGAGATTGTCAGAATCTTCTTCAAGGGGGATCTCTTATGTATGTTTTGGTAAATTATGGAAAAGTTGGCAAGAGTCACCTCTATTCTCTCTCCCTTCTAGCCTTCTGCCCTCCACCCTCTAGCCCCCCACTCCAGTCACACCTAGTCCTCTTCCTCGCCCCCTCCGTACATGTCAGCCAGCTTCTTGAAACGGTTTCCCCAGTCATTCAAGTAATCATAATCTTGGTCCTGGTCTCCATAGGAGGAGTTGAGGGAACTGAGGGAGGTGGCCTCGGAGCCGTTGCCTTCATAATCAAACACCAGCAGAGAGTCATAGGGGGGAGCAGTGGGGTCCGTGTCTGCTGCCTTCAGGTTCTGCAAGAAGGGAAATAAACAAAACTTCCATTGGTTGAACAGTGGAGGAAGCTGATCCATCTCTCTAAAACGGTCTTTCTCAACCTGAGCAACTTTAAGACGTGGGGACCTCAACTCCCAGAATTCCCCAGCCCAAGGAAGTAGCACGTCTTAAAGCTGCTCAGGTTGAGAAACAATGACAAATGGCTCACCAAATCCAGGGGTGAAATTCAGCAGGTTCTAACAGGTTCTGGAGAACCGTGGTGGAAATTTTGAGTAGTTCGGAGAACCGGCAAATACCACCTCTGGCTGGCCCCAGAGTTGGGAGGGAATGGGGATTTTGCAGTATCCTTCCCCTACCATGCCCACCAAGCCATGCCCACAGAACCGGTACGGAAAAAAATTGAATTTCACCCCTGAAAATCGTTGGAGAAGCTCAAGGGAGCAGACTGTCTCTATCTAGGCTGCATCTGTAGCTGTTCAGCTGCTAGGATTTAGCTTCCGTGCCCATGTTTTGCTTCTCACGGAATGCTTGCTCACCTGAGGTACCTGGGAACTGGGTATCTCCCCACCAAGTGGGCTCCGGGTGCCACTCACCTCGTCAATGAAGTTGCCTATCTCATCGGGATTGGCAGGGCGTGGACGGTACTGTGGGGCCGGCATGAGGGTTGGAGCAACGTCATTCCGGGTGATTTCAGGGCGGGCATCCAGGCCTCGATGCAACTGGCTCAGATCAAAATCCTAGGGAGAGAAGATGCCCGTTGGGCAGATGAAGAAAACTCCAGGACTTTGAGCTGAGCAGAATCAGGGGTGATTCTGGCAGACAGGCAGGAAGAAAACCCTCCTCCAGCACAAACAATGAACAGAGGAGTCCTTTCCTTCCTTCCTTTGGAAGAACAAAATGGTTTTGTTTGGTCACTTTTCCTTTCACCGTAGCACTAACCCGCCAGGGATTCCTTTCTAAAATTCGGCTTAAATAAGTCGTTTTGACTACAGCCGCTGGGGAACGTGCAAGCAGAACGCCCGAAAGAAATCAAGCAAATGCCAGGCTCTTTCGGAAACTCCCTGCCAGCCCAAGTGGGGGGGGGTGTTAAGTGGGGCCACCACACTGGACGACCAGCCATCCCAGGTGCTGCAGGAGCAGGGAAGAAAAGGGCCGTGGGGAGCAGAAGCACAACTCAGGCCCGGGGACGGGGTTGCTGAGGAGAAACAGCCTGGTCCCGGGGGCCCAGAGCCAGAGGCCCACCTGGTCCTCTTCCCCTCCACCTTCTTCGTCATAGTAGTAGACGTTGTCCCTCGTGTCGTCCTCGGGGAGAAGCAGCGGCTCCTTCACCTGCCTTCTCCTCCTCACGAACAGCAGCAGCAGCAGCAGCAGGACTGGAAGGCAGGTCGAGAGGCCCCGTCAGCCAGGAAGCTCTCATCCGGCTGAAGCAGGAACCGCCGACTAGCTCCTGACACAACCCGAGACCCACTTGATGCCACCTTCCAGGACTTCAGTGCCAACAGAGATGCGGTCTCAGGAATACTTTCCCTACCAGGATACCACCAGAGCACCATGGTGGCCATTGATCTGAACCGCTGGCAAGCAGATCGGTCTGATGCTGAACTTTAGCTTCATGGATTCCCACACAAGTAGAACAACCCAACTCTCCTCCTCTCGTGGCTACCAAGGCAGAAAAACGTGTCCGCCAAAATCTCAGAGGAAGAAATGCTTCCAGCAGCCAGG